TTAAGACTTATTTCATTTCTGTAACTGTACATTTTCATTTTCAAAATGTTAGTTTAGTGTGTAATGAAAGTAGACCTTTCTATTGGCTCCAGTTAGACCAACATTGATGCTTCATATGTTTGATTCTATGCAAACTCAGTGACCTTCCTTGTTACTCAGCTATAAAAAACTTCCCATCAGGCTGTCAGTGGAGTTCACAGCACGTCAGTTTCAACATAAACCATGTTCTCTGTAGCTCTGCTGCTGCTGTTGGCAGCTGGATGTGAGTCTCTCTGGATTTGTCAAAGTCAGCAGTTCTTCTTTTGCAGTATAACTTGATCATTTGTTACAAAACATTTTCTTTTTTAACAGGTGTGAAGTGTGAACAGTTGACACAGCCAGCCTCTGTGACTGTGCAGCCAGGTCAACGTCTGACCATCACCTGTCAGGTCTCTTACACAGCTTGGATCAGACAGCCTGCAGGGAAAGGACTGGAGTGGATTGGAATGGAAGCTGTTGGATACACAACATATTACAAAGATTCACTGAAGTATCACCTTAGACTCTTCCATTAACACAGTGACTCTAAACGGACAGAATGTGCAGCCTGAAGACTCTGCTGTGTATTACTGTGCCCACTACACACAGTGAGAGACAATAACAGCAGAGTCGTACAAAAACTACTTCCTCTATTTACCGTCACTCTGAGCACTCGTTGTTTCAGCATCACTTGTCCTGCCTTTCTGACTGTAATTAACATAAACTTTATTTTTCATTACCAAAATTCCTCTGTCCAGGTTCCACTGAAATAATATTATTTTAAAGATATTAATATATGCACTACTGCTGTGTTTGACTTTCAATCTCCATGAATGAACAAACAGCAACTCAGTGTCAAAGCTGAGTATGTGTATAAGTAAAACCGTTCAAACCAAAACGGAAAATGTGAAGAGTCAAAATTCTGTTCATGAATACAGGCTCATTTTAAGATGGCTCATATAATTAGAAGTTAATACTGAGCAACAGAATTCAGATATCAGTATAACAACACAGAGCACATCCTTTGTTTGGGGAGATGCATTTTTGGATAAGATTTGGTTGATATGATTGTTGTTTCAGTCAGGGGGAGTTGGTCCTGCATTCAGCAGCTGTTGAAATGAGTACGCAGGTAGGAGCTAACAGAAGTGATTGTTTGGTCCTCTAGTGTGGTATGTTTTGGCTTTTGAGGAGTTTCCCTGGTCAGGTATAGCTACATGGTCCATTTGGGCTTGTTTTCTTTTTTTGGTTTGTTATTTTCTGTGTGGTGTGCGGCGACAGAGCAGGTAAAGATAGTCTGGCAAACTGCTAAGTTGGGACTAGTCAGAGATGGTAAGCTTTCTGGGGATGTGTTGCGACGGAAAGAAAGTTCCTCTTTGCGGTCAGGGTCTCCAGATGTTGTTAGTAATTTGCATCTCTTGCCTAAATTTAATGAGCAAGATCCAGATGTGTTTTTCTCTCTGTTTGAGTGGATTGCAGAAGCAAGAACTTGGTCAGACTCAAAACAGGTTTTGTGGTTGCAGTGTGTGTTGTCAGGAAAAGCACAGGAGGCCTATGCATCGTTAAGTAGCAATAATCTAACTTATCAGTCAAGGCTGCTGTACTGAAGGCGTATGAGTTCCAGAAGCATATCGTCAGAGATTCAGGATGTGGGAAAAAAGGGTTAGTCAGTCTCATATGGAGTTTTCAAGGGAGCTGACTAATCATTTCAATCGTTGGTGTATGGCTTCTGATGTTGATCATTTTGAGAGTTTGTGTAACTTGGTCCTCTTAGAGCAGTTTAAAAACTCTCTGCCCAGTCGAGTTGCCACCTACATTAATGAACGCAAGGTTACAACTGTTGCTGAGGCTGCAGCATTGGCTGATGAGTATGTACTCATTCATAAACATCGACCTAGTGAGCCTTTGCAGGAGCCTGTGGTAGGAAAAGATGGTGGTGATAGGTTGCCTGGTTGACTTGGAGTCTTTTCAGGTAAAGGGTCCCGTGGAGCACCTGAAAAAGGGGACAATGTGTGCAATTACTGCCGTGAGGCCGACCCATGGAAGGCAGACTGCCCGATGCTCAGGGCTAAGAAGCAGCATGCTGGAGGTGTTCATGTAAAACTTGCTGCACTGGCTGCAAGCGTTCCTGGTTCTGTGAATGTGGGCGTGCGACAAGGTGGGAATGCAGATTCTTGCATGGCTCGTGTTCTTGATGAGTCCTTTCTGCTGTTAGAGATGGGTTTGTAAAACATGTTGGTAGTGATGCTAAGGTACGTGTTTGAGTCTATACTGTCAGCTGATGAGGTGGAAAATGTTGCCAGTGGCTACTTGCTTCAGGATGGTGTTTTGGTGCCCCATGGTGAGGATTTTGTTGGGGATCCCATTTTTCAAGTCTATTCAAATATCGCAGTCATGTGTTAGGGCTTGATCATGATGGGTCAGGGCACTTAGGCATCCGGAAAACACATGACAGGATTTTGCGCCTTTTTTTGGCCATAACTAAAAAAGGATGTTTCTGTACATATTAAAAACTGTCGTACTGGGGCGCCCAGTTCGCTCAGTTGGTAGAGCTGGCGTCCCAGGTACCAAGGCTGAGTCCTTGCTGCAGCGGCCCAGGGATCGAATCCGACCTGTGGCCCTTTGCTGCGTGTCATCCCCTCTCTCTGCCCCCCTTTCCTGTCTATCTCCAGCTGTCACTATCAATAAAAAAGGCAATAAAATACAAAAAAAAAAACTGTTGTACTTGTCAGGTAACTGGTAAGCCCCATCAGGTCATTAAACCCGCTCCGTTGCAGCCGATTCTAGCTATCAGTCAACCATTTGAGTACTTGATCACTGATTGTGTGGGGCTACTGCCCTGTGCGTGGTCTGGAGGCCAGTATTTGCTTACAGTTATGTGTCAAAGCACTAGATATCCAGCAGCTTATCCTTTGCGGACAATTACTGTAAGGTCTGTGGTTAGAGCACTGACACAATTTATATTTGTGTTTGGCATACCCAGAGTCATTCAGAGTGACCAGGGATCTAACTTGTCTTCACACCTTACGGCCCATGTGTTAAAACTGTCAAAGTCAGGGTGCTTTGGAGCATTTTCACCAAACACTGTTGCGTGCATGTTGTACAGAGATGAATGGGGACTGGGAGGAGGGGCTACCATGGCTGCCTTTAGCTGCATGGGAAGTGCAGGAAAGTACAGGGTTTAGCCCAAATGATCTAGTGTTCGGCCACACCATTAGGGGTCCACTGTCTGTATTAAAGGATGGGTTAAAGGAGTCAGATCCGCCCACCAATCTTATTGACTATGTCTCTGGGTTTAGGCATCGCCTATATGCTGCAGGGGAGTTGATGAAAAAGAGGTATCCTTTGGGAGCTCAGTACTGGCTCTTTCTCCTCCCTGAGACAATCATTTGGTTTTGGGGTTTGACGGTTTGATTGTGTTGCTGCATCTTAATACAACACAGCACTCATCAGTTCTCATCTCATGCAATCACTTACAACACTGATCCCACTGATTTCTCATACTACTGTTAGTTTAGGTTAATTCTTTTCCTTAATAAATAATTAGTTAATTGGCTTTGTTGTGTGAGTCTCCCTCCTTTTGTCATGACCTTATGGCCCGGTTTGTGACACCCTATTACTCCCATTCGGTCTGGGGTAGATTCACCATCACCAGAGATGACTCCAGCAGTAAACTCTCTACAGATGAAGACCGAGGACACAGCAGTGTCAGAGAGACACAATGAGAGACAATAACAGGAGAGTCATACAAAAACTACTTTCTCTATTTACAACCACTGAGAACATTCACTTTCTTCAGTATCACTGATCTTAACTGTAATAGTTTCAAGGTTTAATTTAATTGTTATTGTAAAATACAGGATTGCACAATTAAAAGCAATTGAATGAAATTATTAAAAAATTAAATAGAACATAGTTTAGGACTAAATCATATTAACAAGGAAGATATACAGTTACACACAAACAAAGTAGATATAAGTAAGTAAAGTGTTATTTATAAAGCACTTTACAGTTACAAAGTTTTTTAACACACAAACAAAAAATAAAAATGAGTAAAATGAAAAGTTAAAAATAGAAATGAGTAAAATGAATTAATTAAAACTGCATGGATGGATAAATGGCCAAGATTTGAAGATTGGAGTGGTCGGAAAGTGGAATGAGGGACAGACGGTGATCAGAAGTTTTACTGGAGACAAGGTCATGAAGTGTCTTTTGTGAAATTTCATGGGAAGCCATGCAGTCACAAAACTGCCAATGACAGAACAGCAATCAGCTGAAATCACTGAACGAAATAAAATAAATTAATTAAAGAAAGATTATGAACACATAAATGAATAACAAACAAAAAAAATACTATATGAACATATTTCAGCCACATTAATGTTTACGTACTTTGGCATGAGAGTGAAAAATAATGTTGCAGTTCCGTTATAAAAACACTAGATGGCAGTCAGTGTCAAGTTTCTCTCTCCTCTGTCACTATAAGGAGACTCTCATATCTGCTTATCTCACTGATCTCAACTGACTGACACTCAAACCCTGGACTGAACTAGAGTTTTAGACTCACACCCTTGTGAGCTCGCTTCACCACAACACTAATAGAACATTTGAAGTGCTGGATCAGCAGTGACTGCATCTTCATGTGTTCATTTAGCTGTAGTTCACCACTATTTATTCAAATGCATGAAATGATGTTCTTTTATCATGACACAAATATCAACTTAAAGGACCAAAGCGTGGGATTTATTTGAATCTAAGGGAAGGAATATACACTAATGAAAACACACCCATGAATATTATATTCCATTTCTGCCAATAGATTCTCCAAAATGTTAAACACTGGACCCAAGCTAAGTTTTGATGAGAGGTTGAGCACATTACGTGGCTCAGTTCCACAAGTGAGGATCAATTACAAAAAAGTAACTCCCTGTGAGGAGGAGTCAATGCAAAACTCAACTCTACTTATCTGACTGCATAGAGGATGACAGAGAACAGTGGACACACAGTTTAACATGATGGACTATAGGACAGGACTGCTGCTGTTAACTATCTGCTGGGCAGGTGAACATCTTCACTAATGTTGATTTGAAGTTGTTTTCAAAATGCTTCCAGCTTAAAGCAACTGACCACTTTATATTTGTTTTTGTCTTGACAGGTGTTGATGGTCAGACTCTGACAGAATCTGAACCAGTGGTTAAAAGGCCTGGAGAATCTCACAGATTGACCTGTACAGCCTCTGGATTCACATTCAGCAGCTACCATATGAACTGGGTCAGACAGGCTCCTCCTTGCCTGGGTTGAATATGATAATGACAGAAACGCTACTCTCAGTCAGTTCAAGGCCGGTTTACCATCTCCAAAGACAACAGCAGACAGCATGTGTATCTGCAGATGAACAGTCTGAAGACTGAAGATTCTGCTGTTTATTATTGTGCTCGAGACTGACAGTGACTAGAGTTGGTTGAGCAGCTATACAAAATCCTATAGTACTCATCTTGAAGTACTTTTGTATTAATATTATATGTTGATAATTTTTATATTCAGTGTTTTACATTACATATATATTTTTATTATATGAATTGACAATTGTCCCTGCATTATACAAAGTCCAGAAAAGTGTTACTTATATTTAATTACTGAATATTAAACGCATCCAAAATACACAATACATCACTTGTTGATATTACGGACAACAACAGCAAATCAAGACTCAATAATGTCAGTAAATCACGTGGAACATAAAGTGAGTCAGAATATGAGAGTGAAAATAATGTTGAGTTTCTTAAAATCACAAGAGGGCAACTTTCTCTCTCCTCTGATACTAAAAGGAGACACTCAGATCTGGTAAAGACCTGAAGATGAACAGCAGGAAGCCTGAAGGAGCTGCTGTGTGTTCTTGTGCTTGTGAGACTGATTGAAGATGGATGAACAACTAATCCTGCAGTAACAAACATTTTCTGGGATTTTTAAGCAAAAACTCTCTTTTCTCATCCTCAGTGGGCTGATAGACCCTGCACTGTCTCACAGGATTAATGTCCTCAGGTCCAGTAATTCAAATGATACAACACACACATATTTTATGACCACTGATGTCTGAATGGATTTAAAGTCATATTTCATTAGAAATAATTTGATACAATAAAACATGAAATATAATGTAGTTATTTAGCTTTTCCTGGTCACTAATAAATAAATACAAAATAAATACAATAATAACAATAATATATTAAACAATAATAGTAAACCCAGAACACGAAAATTTGATGAGGACTTATTTCTGACACAACCACACACAGATGAAGGTAAATGTGTTAATAATTAGCCTTCAACATGTTACTTATGAACTACCTTAGTTTTCATCGAAGCTAAATAATTTAGTTTTTTGCATTTTGTCACACAGGTTTCAGTTCCTGAGCAGCTGTATTCCCCTCGAGGCTTTCCAAGTATTTTATGCAAACCTGAAAACCACCAGCATCAGACTATTTACATGATCCTGGCTGCTGCTATTTCTGTTTGCAGCAAATACAGTCAGCAAGTACAGAAAGTGAGCAAATATATGAATAAATAAATGCTGCAGTTACAAAAAGGCTGTGCTCAGGTTTTTAAGTAATCATGACTGTAATGTAGGATGCAGGCTTGGGGGTTTCCATCTTCTTTTCAAAAGTCACGTTGTTTTGTTGTCTTGTAGAATACACTTGCATCAATACTTCTTATTGGTTTTGTTGATTGTGATTTTGATTGTTTTTCTCTTGTCTTTATTTGTATAGTTGGTAAGGTAATCCAAAGTTAGTCAAGTCAAGTAGTCAAGTTACATAACTTTAATATTGTGATAATTGGGCTAGGTTACTGACTACATTTTTACAGGTAATCAGTAATTATATTGGATTACATTTTTAAAGTAACCCCCAACCCTGGTAGGGGGTGCTGACAGTAAATAAATGATCTCAGGGAAACAAAAAAACATGATAAACATGTCGTATAGAAAACAACATTATTGGTGATTGTTCTTTTTGTTTCCATGGGTGCACATCATCGTTCTTACATTAATGTATATGTTCTGCATCATTATTAATGTTAAAATTAGCACTAATAAAGATCCTTATCATTGTTTGCAAGTGTACAAAAAATTACAAAATGTTTCAATATTGACTTGTTTAGATTTAGACAGTAATAGTTTACAGTAAAAGCAAAGAGACATTTTCAAAATGTTAAATGAAATTAAAATACCATATGTAAAGCAGAGGTGATTTCCAGGCATGTTTTCACTCTGCAGATATAATAACAGTCAACAGACTCTTCTATTGGCTCCAGTTAGACCAACATTGATGCTTCATATGTTTGATTCTATGCAAACTCAGTGACCTTCCTTGTTACTCAGCTATAAAAACTTCCCATCAGGCTGTCAGTGGAGTTCACAGCACGTCAGTTTCAACATAAACCATGTTCTCTGTAACTCTGCTGCTGCTGTTGGCAGCTGGATGTGAGTCTCTCTGGATTTGTCAAAGTCAACAGTTCTTCTTTTGCAGTATAACTTGATCATTTGTTACAAAACATTTTCTTTTTTAACAGGTGTGAAGTGTGAACAGTTGACACAGCCAGCCTCTGTGACTGTGCAGCCAGGTCAACGTCTGACCATCACCTGTCAGGTCTCTTATTCTCTGGGCTACTACACAGCTTGGATCAGACAGCCTGCAGGGAAAAGGACTGGAGTGGATTGGAATGAGAGATACTTCAGCTTCATACTACAAAGATTCACTGAAGAACAAGTTCAGTATCGACTTAGACTCTTCCAGTAACACAGTGACTCTAAACGGACAGAATGTGCAGCTTGAAGACTCTGCTGTGTATTACTGTGCCAGAAAGACACAGTGAGAGACAATAACAGCAAAGTCGTACAAAAACTACTTCCTCTATTTACCGTCACTCTGAGCACTCGTTGTTTCAGCATCACTTGTCCTGCCTTTCTGACTGTAATTTACATATGTTTTATTTTTCATTACCAAAATTCCTCTGTCCAGGTTCTACTGTAATAATATTTTAGAGATATCAATATATGCACTACTGCTGTGTTTGACTTAAATCTCCATGAATGAACAAACAGCAACTCAGTGTTAAAGCTGAGTATGTGTATAAATACAACCATTCAAACCAAAATGGAAAATGTGAAGAGTCAAAATTCTGTTCATGAATACAGGCTCATTTTAAGGTGGGTCATATAATTAGAAGTCAATACTGAGCAACTGAATTCAGATAAATCATTTACATTCAGTATAACAACACAGAAGAAATAAACAATAATACTCAATACAATATAAACTATTAAAAGACACATTCAACTCTGCAACATGAAGCTGAGCTGATTTCCAGGCAGGGATTAGTGTTTTCAATCTGCATCGACAATATCAGTCAGCAAAGCACCTTAAGTGGACATGATATAAATAAATGTTGATATCATTTACTCCAATCAGTAGATTAAATACTCTTGTCTTTTTATCTATTTGTAGTCTAATAAACAGAGGTGTAACTGGCTGAATATATGTGTGATGTTCTCGATGGACTGTATATCACATTTATTCGTAACCTATATATGATTATATTGAATTAAAACTAATAAGGACATAGAATGAGTAACCAAACAAAACTAAAACAATTTACGAGTGCAAAATAGTTCAGTGTGAATGTTTAACCATTAAAACCTGTTTAAAAAGTAGCTGATGCTGTGAAAGCAGAGTTAAAAGTTGTTTCACTGCTTTAAATGCAGGGACAGATTTACTGAAGAACAAGTTCAGTATCAACTTAGACTCTTCCAGTAACACAGTGACTCTAAACGGACAGAATGTGCTGCCTGAAGACTCTGCTGTGTATTACTGTGCTAGAGAGACACAATAACACAAACCATCAGTAGACCTGAACAAAAACCCCTCAGTGCCTGAACACTTGTAACATGAAGCCACCAGAGGAGGAGCCCTCAGACCACTAATGATTTCAACACCAGTTCACTGTTACAGTGAAGACAGAAACAGACATGATAAGAATGAAGAAAAATTAATTATAATATATAATAATAATAATAATAATAATAATAATAATAATACTATCAAACATACAGTGGAGGCATTTTACAAAATATTTTTTCTCTGTCTGCCTTACAAATGTAAATCATGGAATTTATTTGCATTGACTGAAAAACATGGTTATTAATGGCATCCACGTATTGAAGAGTTACATGTTATTCCTGTTCTATGCTTAATTAATATTCTCGAATGTATCTTCACTCTTATTGCTACTTGGGTTTTTGGTCCCTTAAGTCTTGAAAATAGTATGATATATGAACATTTGAAAAATATTTTCTTGTGAGAAATTCAACATTGTAACGTAATGAACAACATTTATTAGGTGTTATTCGATATTTCTTTACATTAATATGTAATTAAAAATACTCACTTTAGGTGTATGGTAAAACTGATAAACTATTGTCGAGGTCTTCACATGATGCAGACTGTGGTCTATAATGTGGTCTTTAATAAGGATCAACCAACTTAAATAATGTGTTTGTCAACCTGTTGCACAAATTATACTGAAACATGCAAGAGGGACTCTTGGAGGAATGACTAATGTACAGTAAACATTCATTCTGCAGTTTCACCAAACATCAACTGAGATCCAAGTCAAATCCAGTTCCACACTGTGAGGAGGAGTCAATGCAAATCTCAGCTGTCTTCCACCTCTACTTATCTGACTGCAGAGAGGATGACAGAGAACAGTGGACACACAGTTTAACATGATGGACTATAGGACAGGACTGCTGCTGTTAACTATCTGCTGGGCAGGTGAACATCTTCACTGATCTTGATTTGACATATTTTCATTTTTGCTGCCAATGTAACATATGACATGCATATCTTTATTGGTTTAACAGGTGTTGATGGTCAGACTCTGACAGAATCTGAACCAGTGGTTAAAAGGCCTGGAGAATCTCACAAATTGACCTGTACAGCCTCTGGATTCACATTCAGCAGCTACAAGATGAGCTGGATCAGACAGGCTCCTGGAAAGGACTGGAGTGGATCGCTTATATTAGTAACCCTAGTGGTAGCGACAAATACTACTCTCAGTCAGTTCAAGGCCGGTTTACCATCTCCAGAGACAACAGCAGACAGCAGGTGTATCTGCAGATGAACAGTCTGAAGACTGAAGATTCTGCTGTTTATTATTGTGCTCGACAGCCACAGTGACACAGGAAGGAGCAACGTTGTACAAAAACCTCCTGTACTAGTGCTTTTTTCTGGAACTGAAAGATGATTATTCACCACCAACATAAATCATAAAAAAATAAAAAATGTTTTAATGATCAGTTCCTCACAAAATATCCAAGTGCAGCACAACAATCGGTTGAAATCATTGTCCAGAAATGAAGAAAATAAATATTACATGTAAGCATTTCAGGCATATTAACCGTCATTTGAACATATCAGGAGTACTGACTGGGGTCCCTGGGAGCCAATAATAAACCACTCTAAGAGAAAGCCAGAAAAATGTTAACTTTCTTTTGAAAACATTAGTTATGCAGTTAATGTCATCTGAAAAGAAACAGATAATTATTATTTTGGGAAAGCTACAGTTAACTGGCATATTGGGTATTACTAAAGTGATACTTTAAATCAGAACCCATGGCACAAATTAAGTTTATTAAAAATAACATCAAATAACATAAATACATACAATGAATAATAGAAAGTCAATAAATAAAAATTGATTGACAAAATCATGAAAAATTGGAATGATAGAATAAAGCTTGTTATATGACGACAATTTTACCTCTTGGATCAGTGGGATTTAAGGTTAATGTTTATATGATTTGGTTAAGTCACAATTATGAGTGAAAAATAATGTTGCAGTTCCCGTTATAAAAACACTAGATGGCAGTCAGTGTCAAGTTTCTCTCTCCTCTGTCACTACAAGGAGACTCTCATATCTGCTTATCTCACTGATCTCAACTGACTGACACTCAAACCCTGGACTGAACTAGAGTTTTATACTCACACCCTTTGTGAGCTCGCTTCACCACAACACTATTAGAACATTTGAAGTGCTGGATCAGCAGTGACTGCAGCTTCATGTGTTCATTTAGTTTGGAGGTCACACTGAAGTGAAGACACTGAGAAAAGGAGAAAGACTGAACAACATCTTTATTGTTGGTGTTTCTGTCTGTTTTTAACTCACTTTAACTCTCTCTCTCTCTCTCAGAGTCCAGCACTCCTCCTTCTCTCACAGATTTAGTCTTTATGCATCAACACTGTAACTCCAAAATGTCTGACTGGTAAAATGCAAATTCACACACTGATACACAATCTCCACCCATTCTGCCTGCACAATAAATATCCTTCATAATAACCTTTGCAGTTGCAGACTCAGCCAAGTTCCCACCATGACAGCTGTACAAAGTCTCTTCCTCTTGGCTCTCATTTCAGGTGAGTGAAGTCGGTGTCCAGCTGAGGAGAAAATGAGCTTTGGATGTCTGCTGGCTCCCCGTCATCTAAACTCTGTGTCTCTTTCAGCTGCTCAGGGTCAGTCCCTCACCTCCTCAGAGCCAGTGGTCAGCAGAGCTGAGAACCAGTCACTCTGTCCTGTAAAGTGGAAGGACTCATTCTGGCTTGGCTGCACTGGATTCGTCAGAAACCAGGGAAAGGACTGGAATGGATCGGACGCATTGATAGCGGAACTGGCACAATATTTGCCCAAAGTCTCCAAGGCCAGTTTTCCATCACCAAAGACACCTCCAAAAACCTTGTGTCCTTAGAGGTGAGGAGTCTGAAACAAGAAGACTCTGCAGTTTATTATTGTGCACGAGAGCCACAGTGACTCACCAGACTGCAACGCTGCACAAACACTGAACAACACTGATCCCTGTGTGAGAAGCATTGAAGCATGTCAGCCCTTTGACAACAGTTTACCACTGAATGACTGATTATCACTGAAATACATTTATTAAATTAAAAAATAATTTTCAGCGTGTGCACCTGCATTTAAAAGTAGACAACCCTAATTAATTACAACATTATAATATTATTTTAACAACATCCTTTAAAAAAGCTTTGCATCATTCCATATTCAATTTTCTATATATTAACCTCCACTAACTTCATGAGTGTTAAAAGTTATTTTTACAGCAAATTCATCAACTTTGTTGAACCAATCATCTAAGTGGTAACATTTAAGTCCATATTCGCTCTTCACGTCTCATGTCTTTACATTTTCATTTGATTTAAATATAATACAAAAGATTATCAGAATCAGAATGTATTAATATGTGTGCGTAAGTAGGCTTTTTTATGTATGGGTGTGCTTCAGTATATGTGTATAGTAGCTATGAATACTTGGACAGGACAGTTGATCCTTGTTTTATAGGCTGTCAGTGTCCTTCTCTATGCAAAGTGAACTTCCTCACAGTCTGCTATAAAGACTTGATATCATGCTGTCAGTTGCAGCAGAAGAAGAGAAGCTCCCATCAGATCACCTTCAATACCAACCATGTTCTCTGTAGCTCTGCTGCTGCTGCTGGCTGCTGGATCCTGTGAGTCTCACTGAGGCAGAGACACTGACAGTATGATCACAGCACACTGACTGTTCACTGTTATCACACTGATTCAATATTCAACATGTTTTCCTCCACAGGTGTAAAGTGTGAACAGTTGACACAGCCAGCCTCTGTGACTGTGCAGCCAGGTCAACGTCTGACCATCACCTGTCAGGTCTCTTATTCTCTGGGCACATATCGCACAGCTTGGATCAGACAGCCTGCAGGGAAAGGACTGGAGTGGATTGGAATGAAATATACTGGAGATTCATATTACAAAGATTCACTGAAGAACAAGTTCAGTATTGACTTAGACTCTTCCAGTAACACAGTGACTCTAAACGGACAGAATGTGCAGCCTGAAGACTCTGCTGTGTATTACTGTGCCAGAGAGGGACACAATAACACAAACCATCAGTAGACCTGAACAAAAACCCCTCAGTGCCTGAACACTTGTAACATGAAGCCACCAGAGGAGGAGCCCTCAGACCACTAATGATTTCAACACCAGTTCACTGTTACAGTGAAGACAGAAACAGACATGATAAGAATTAAGAAAATAGTATAGAATAATAATAATATCAAAAACACAGTGGAGGCATTTAAAAAAATAAATAATTCTGTCTGCCTCAGAAATGTAAATCATTTATTTGCATTGACTGAAAAACATGGTTATTAATGTCAAATACGTATTGAAAAGTTACATGTTATTCCTTTTCAATGCTTAATTAATGTTCTCGAATGTATTCTTCACTCTTATTGCTACTTGGGTTTTTGGTCCCTTGAGTCTTGAAAATAGTATGAATTATGAACACTTGAAAAATATTTTCTTGTGAGAAATTCAACATTGTAACGTAATGAACAACATTTCTTAGGGTGTTATTTGATATTTCTTTACATTAAAATGTAATTAAAAATACTCACACTCACAGGTGTATGGTAAAATTGATAAACTATTGTTGAGGTCTTCACATGATGCAGACTGTGGTCTATAATGTGGTCTTCAATAAGGATCAACCAAGTTAAATAATGTGTTTGTCAACCTGTTGCACAAATTATACTGAAACATGCAAGAGGGACTCTTGGAGGAATGACTATTGTACAGTAAACATTCATTCTGCAGTTTCACCAAACATCAACTGAGATCCAAGTCAAATCCAGTTCCACACTGTGAGGAGGAGTCAATGCAAAACTCAGATGTCTTCCACCTCTACTTATCTGACTGCAGAGAGGATGACAGAGAACAGTGGACACACAGTTTAACATGATGGACTATAGGACAGGACTGCTGCTGTTAACTATCTGCTGGGCAGGTGAACATCTTCACTGATGTTGATTTGACATATTTTCATTTTTACTACCAATGTAACACATAACATGCATCTTTCTTGGTTTGACAGGTGTTGATGGTCAGACTCTGACAGAATCTGAACCAGTGGTTAAAAGGCCTGGAGAATCTCACAGATTGACCTGCACAGCCTCTGGATTGAACTTTGCTGGCTACTATATGGCCTGCATCAGACAGGCTCCTGGAAAAGGACTGGAGTGGATTGCTTCTATCAGCAGTGGCAGTGGTAGTGGCAAATACTACTCTCAGTCAGTTCAAGGCCGGTTTACCATCTCCAGAGACAACAGCAGACAGCAGGTGTATCTGCAGATGAACAGTCTGAAGACTGAAGATTCTGCTGTTTATTATTGTGCTCGAGACTCACAGTGACTGGAGTTGGTTGAGCAGCTGTACAAAATCCTATACTACTCATCTTTACTGACTGATAGATTCAGACAAAGAATTATTTTTTCATTTTATCTTGTTTTTAATAAAACCCTGAAAATTGGTCCAGAGAAAGATCATCATTAACCAACAACAAAAATCATTAAACACAGAAATAAAAGTCTTAATGGAGGAGGAGAAAATTAACTTTAAATGTCTACTGGCTTCCTGTCATCTTAACTCTCAGTCTCTTTCAGGGTCAGTCCCTCACCTCACTGGAATACTGGAATTAGTATCATAAAACAATGAACAAATAAAAAATAAAATAAAATAAATCTGTTCATTAAAGGGCCAAAGACAGCACAACAGTCTGGTTGCTTTAATTAAACTACAACAAATACGCAGCATTTATGCAAATTAGAACACAATAATGTCAGTAAATCATGTGGAATATAAAGTGAGTCAGAATATGAGAGTGAAAATAATGTTGAGTTTCTTGTAGGGTAGTCAATGTCAACTTTCTCTCTCCTCTGATACTAAAAGGAGACTCTCAGATCTGATGTTCTCATTGATCTTAACTGACTGACACTTGAACTCTGGACTGAACTAAAGAGTAATACTCCTGCTGCTCATGTACACTGGATATTGTGAGAGTTGATACTTTCAAACGAAAGTCCTGTGTTAACTTGATTCAGCAAATATTATTAAGTATGACAGCATATTCAATTTAAATATTTACAAAGTGAATTTACTTGAATCCTACATACAAACATACAGCAATGTTTTTGATTTCTGACACAACCACAGACAAAGGTAACTAATGAACTACAGTAGTTTTCATCTCAGCTAAAGGTTTTAGTTGTTTGTATTTTGTCAAACAGGTTTAAGATCTGAGCAGCTGTTTTCCCCTCGAGGCTTTCCAAGTATTTTATGCAAACCTGCAAACCACCAGCATCAGACTATTTACATGATCCTGACTCCTATTTCTGTTTGCAGAAAATACAGTCAGCAAGTACAGAAAGGTAGCAAATATATGAATAAATAAATGCTTCAGTTACAAAAAGGCTGTGCTCAGGTTTGAAGTTAATCATGAATGTAATGTAGGAGGCAGGCTTGGGGAGTAACGGATTACATGTAACTAAGTTAACTAATCAGAATAAAAAGTCAAAAGTCACATTGTTCTGTTGTCTTGTAGAATACACTTGCATCAATATGTCTTATTGATCTTTATTTGCATAGTTGGTGAGGTAATCCAAAAGTAACAGAAATGAATCAAGTTGCGTTACTTTAATATTGTGATACTTTGACTAGGTTACTGATTACATTTTTACAGGTAATCAGTAATCATATTGGGTAACACTTTATAATGAGTACACACTATTAAGCATTAGTTAAGCATGAATAAATAATGAAATCATCATTTATAACACATGAATACACATTAGTATGTAGTTTATAAACACAGTTAAAAATGTTTTAGTCATCATTGATAAGCACATTAGTTATGGATTAGTAAATACTACTATTTTATAAAGCATGTTTCTGCTGTAAATAGTCATTACTATGTGGTTTATAATCACAGTTATAAATGTTTTACTCTTCATTGTACTGTACATTTCTGCATGCACTTGCACATCCACTATTCAGACATGTATTAATGATTATGTTAGCAGATGTTCTATAAAACTCACAACAAATTAATTTTCTAATGATGGCTTATAAACAGTTATTAATGCAGGAATTCATGAATTGAGGCAGTTACAAAGCACTTACTACTCGTTAATTAAGTATTTTGCGCGAGCTCATGTAAAGTGAGCACTATCTATGGCTTATTAAGCATTTACAAATGAGATATAAAGGCTGACAATGCCTCGAGACTCACAAAATGTTCAGTTATCTTAACAGACGAAGGAGAGACACAACACAAAGGGATATAGAACATATTGTATTGATATTTACTGCAACTTCCCAACATATTGTATGAAGACGAACAAGGGTGGTTTATGAAGACATGCTATTGTTGTGATCTTATATGTTTGGGTTGTGTACGTTGAGCTTGCAATCCCGCTCTCAGCACGTCATCAACTTGATGACGGTGGGAGGCGGGATGTTATGTCATGTAACATCCCAGTTTACCGCTGCTAGGCACTCACCTCGCCCGGCTAGACGAGACTAGACTAGAGTTAGTAATTTAGCTGATTGCTAATTTAGAGTTTGGAATAAGTTATTCATACCTTTTTCAGGACTTATTTCCCTCTACTGTAATATATGCATGTTAACCAAGCAGACTGCTATGGTATGAGGGGCCACCAGGGACATTATTCAGAATTACCTCTCACAAACACATGTGAAATGCTCTTACATACACTACTGAAACACTCTCACATAAACAACTGGAAGATTATTCGCTCGCACACACTACTGAAACGCTCTCACACATACAACTGAAACGCTCTTACACACACTACTGAAAAGCTCTCACACATACAACTGAAACTCTCTTATATATATATATACATTAAGATGATCAGTAGTGCGCGGGCACGAAAGCTGCATGCTGCCTGTTACGTTACTCCAGCCTTTGAGTTTGCTTTTTTTAACTTCTTAACTTTTATTCTCTTTTTGTTCTTTCTTATTTTTTCACTGTAACTCTCTGAAGTCCTGCCCTCTCTAACGATGTTGTTTGAGAGAGTTTTTGTGTTTTATTTCGTGTTTTAATGCCGCTTCCACCGGGACACTAGGGTGGCCATTTCCTTCACATCAGAAAGGAGGACACTTTGCATGCACAGGGACACGCAAGCAGATATTTGTTTGGTTTGATCCCGTTTTAAATTTTAATATGTTAAAATTCTTGGCATCAATAATAATAATTAATGATATATATAATATTTATATATAATAACAATGTGCAGTAATTACTGTGCAATACCATTCCATATTCACTGTGCAATATATTGCCCATGTGCAACTGCTGCTGCTGCTACTATTTGTGTTATCTGTTGTTTGTGGATTCTTACTGTTTTTTCTCTTGTACGTAGTGTTTTTATTTGTTTTTTTTATCTTTGTACTCTTATTGTTTTTATTCTGTTTTTTTCTATATCCACTTTGCTGCTGTAACATTGGAATTTTCCTATTGTGGGACAAATAAAGGAATATCTTATCTTTTACACCCGATTACATAAAGGTGCATACACATACCACATAGCTAATAATAAATATACAAGATACAGCTCATGACAATGTGCCCTTCCAATTCAGATTACATAGGTCTAATAAACATCATACAGAAACTGTTCTTTTGTTTTTATCTGGATAGATAAAGGGTAAAAAAAATACAGCACATTCTGTTTCAGATGTATAGGCTGATTTACCAGCTGAACTCTGGAGGAAACACACCGGGGATGCTGAGGAGGGAAGCAACGTCGGGGGAAGAGAGGAAGGTGGAGATGGGATGGGTTTATGGAGAAGATTTAAGCCAAGTCTCCCCTCTCTTGTTAGGGTGAATGTACGGTCTCCTAGCAACAAGATGAACGACTAATGGCATTAACGCGGAGCCAAGCAGAGTAGTCTGATGTGTTTCACTGAGACATGGCTGCACATGGACATTACAGACCGTCTCTGTGATGTCTTCCACACCTACCGGACGGCCCGAGATTGGACCAAGAGAACAGCTCTGTGGCCCGGATGATGAACCGCTGGCCGTTGGACTCCGTCCATATCATCTACCAAGAGAGATCCCGCACATCATCATCTTCATCCTGGTACATCCCTCCCTCTGCAAACCCAACATCCTGCTATGTGCCTCTGCTGAAGTGTGACTTTAAATTCTTGTTATAACAGTCAGGATGGGGTCAGAGCAGTGGCTGCTTGATGATTGAGGAAAAGAGAAATATAATATATATATATATATATATCATATTTTATGTATTTTATATATATTTTTTGTGTATATATATACATATATCATATATAATATATAATATACATATATATAATATATAATATTTCACTATAATGTGTGAAAGGATTTCAGTATAGTGTGTGAGAGGTGTTTCAGTATAATGTGTGGAAGGTTTTCAGTATAGTGTGTGAGAGGCATTTCAGTAAAACCGGAAGGCATTTCAGTGAAAACGGAAGGTGTTTCAGTAAAACCGGAAGGGCTTAGGTTCAACAAAAATGCACAATTCACAGCGCGATTCACGTGTTGATCGTCAGCCACGTTGTTCGCAACACTAATGTCTGCCCAATAGCCTGCAAGCAACCTAACCACTGCGGTCAAGCCAGCCCGTACTCCGATCTCCGTGGTCAAATCAGCCGGACTTAAATTTCGAGTGTACGTGTAAGTATTCTCAGCATTATGGCAAATGCGGAGAAACAGCGTATTCACTTCCGGTTTTCAAAATAAAGGCATTAAGAACAGTAAGCTATATATTGAACCTACATTTAAAATAAAATATATTACATTAAAGTGTTTCATGCGCCCATGATGAATAAAAAACATACTTAATATCAAGTATCTTTACTGTACCAGTGTGGAGAAATGCCAAAATAAAAGTCCCATATTTGTACCTCCAAGTGGCATATTTTCTTATATTTGAGAACAATAAGAGTACAAAGAATCCACAAAACAACAGATAACACAAATAGTAGCAGCAGCAGCAGCAGTTGCACATGGGCAATATATTGCACAGTGAATATGGAATGGTATTGCACAGTAATTACTGCACATTGTTATTATATATAAATATTATATATATCATTAATTATTATTATTGATGCTGAGAATTTTAACATATTAAAATTTAAAAAAGCAAACTCAAAGGCTGGAGTAACGTAACAGGCAGCATGCAGCTTTCGTGCACGCGCACTACTGATCATCTTAATGTATATTTATATAAGAGCGTTTCAGTTGTATGTGTGAGAGCGTTTCAGTAGTGTGTATAAGAGCGTTTCAGTTGTATGTGTGAGAGCGTTTCAGTAGTGTGTATAAGAGCGTTTCAGTTGTATGTGTGAGAGCGTTTCAGTAGTGTGTATAAGAGCGTTTCAGTTGTATGTGTGAGAGCGTTTCAGTAGTGTGTATAAGAGCGTTTCAGTTGTATGTGTGAGAGCTTTTCAGTAGTGTGTATAAGAGCGTTTCAGTTGTATGTGTGAGAGCTTTTCAGTAGTGTGTATAAGAGCGTTTCAGTTGTATGTGTGAGAGCTTTTCAGTAGTGTGTATAAGAGCGTTTCAGTTGTATGTGTGAGAGCATTTCAGTAGTGTGTATAAGAGCGTTTCAGTTGTATGTGTGAGAGCGTTTCAGTAGTGTGTATAAGAGCGTTTCAGTTGTATGTGTGAGAGCGTTTCAGTAGTGTGTATAAGAGCGTTTCAGTTGTATGTGTGAGAGCATTTCAGTAGTGTGTATAAGAGCGTTTCAGTTGTATGTGTGAGAGCGTTTCAGTAGTGTGTGCGAGCGAATAATCTTCCAGTTGTTTATGTGAGAGTGTTTCAGTAGTGTATGTAAGAGCATTTCACATGTGTTTGTGAAAGGTAATTCTGAATAATGTCCCTGGCGGCCCCTCATACTATGTGTTTGCATTTGCATTGAGAAGCTACACTTTTGCTGGCGCCCCACTTGCAATGGACTTGAAATCTGCTAGTTATACTGAATCCTCACAAATGGACTGAAACAAGTGAGGACTTTATGTATATGTATGCTGATGTGTGTTGTGGTGCTGGAGCGTATTCTGTTATAATTGCAGAGTGGGGTAGTGTTATAAGAGTAGCGTGGCTCCTTTAAGGGGTAGAGCAGTGCGCATGTGGGGAGATAACGTGTGTGGCAGAGCGAGAGCAAGCGAGCGGGAGTGTGCGAGCGGGAGTGTGTGAACGAGTGCGACGGTGAATGGCAGCAACAGCGAGAGACTGGTTAGCAAAAGTTATTAGAGAGTTTAGCAGTGAATGTACAGTTTATGTCACAGTTGTCGGTGAATAAAGGCTGTCGCTCCTCAAGGACAAAGTGGAGCCTCCGTGTGAGTTGTTTGCCAACTGCTGGAGATAAAGTGAAGGGGGTTAGCCCCGAAGTTAGCCTCAAGTTAGCCTGGAGGAAACTCTCCCTGTGCTTCCCGACTTTGGTCTGGGAGCCGAACAGGAATGGTTAACACAGTGTTATACAAAATATGCAGAGTTAACAATCAAAAGCACAAAGTATTTTTATCTTGGAGATGTATTTGATATATATCAAATCTATTATACAAATAAGCCCCTCCCCTTACAAATTGCCAATGCAAATCCAGAACTTTCAGAGGGTTTACTTCTGCAGCATCTGAGTTCACATCTTCAGTCTCAAGATGATGGACAAACTGTCTGTACTGCTGACAGCACTCTGTCTGTACTGCTGACAGCACTCTGTCTGCCCTGTACGTTGCTTCATGCTGCAATACTGATCAGAGAATGCACACATTTAATGTTCTGCTGTTTATTTCTCTCTCGTTCTCACTTGTGTCCTTTAACATCTGTTTCTTTGGCAGGTTTGAATGGCCAGGGATTCGACAGCCACAGTCATCCAAGTGAGCAAAGAAGCTTTACAAAAACCTCAAACAACTTATCTTCACAGTCACCAAAAGGGGGCAGCAGGAGATCTTAAAACCAGTGTGGCATCGTACCTACACATACAGAGAAACAAACACAATGTGCAAGCACCAGCTGAGGCTGTGGTTTGTCACTTCCTCTTTTAAATGGTTGTATGTGCTTATCTACCACAATGTACTGGTTAATAATATCCCCATCTTTTATTTTGTAAGGCAGTAGTGAAACATTTTCTCTTATATTTCAATAATTAAAGGTCCCATATTGTGGAAAGTGAGATTTCCATGTCTTGTGTGATTATAAAGCAGGTAGGTGCTGTATAAATACTGTGAAAGTATAAAAAAGCTCATTCCACAGAGAAATGCACACAGCCAGTATTTAGAAACTGTGCCTTTAAACCAACTGTCAGAACTTCCATAAGGTTGTGATTGAACTATACAGTCGCCACCATCAGCCATGCTCCCAGAGAGTGAGTATGTGTTGGACAGTTACTCCCTGATGGACAGAGAATTAAATAACATGAGAATTTAAGGCACCAAAAAAAGTTATTTTAATCTTACAAATACAGATAACACAGAGTCACATCACAGATCATAAATCGAATTTTCTTGTTTTATGTTCTAGTCCTCTACTTAACATTAATACTTTTTTAAAATTGTGCCATCATATATTATTTGTTTCTCATAGACAGTTTCTGGTTTGTGTTATTATAAAATGACAGAAAAAAAAACATTTCAACTTTTTGAAGACAATTCAAATTAAACAAGTTTTACATTCAGATTTGCCTGAATCATCCTTTGGCTGTTGTCACAACTCCTACATTCTCGTTTCTCAAGTGCAACAAACTAAAGACCAAACTCTGTCCTCCCTGTGAGGACGAGTCAATGCAGAACGTAGTTGTCTTCAACCTTTAATAATCTGACTGCAGACAGTCACAAAGTGTTTACTGGAACTTTTGTTTGAGTTTATATTTCTGAGTGGACAATTTATTTCTATTGACTCTTAATTTCTATTCCTACTGAGGTTTTCATTCCCCTGATATCCTTAAAGTGGTTTGACTTACGAACACTTTGAGAAGAAATCAACAGTAAAACATAATTAACGTTTGTTAAGGTGTCATATTTCTGTCAAAATGTAATTAAAATTACTCAGTAACTCAGATCTGAGTCAAATCCAGTTCCACACTGTGAGGAGTCAATGCAAAACTCAGATGTCTTCCATCTCTACTTATCTGACTGCAGAGTGGATGACAGAGAACAGTGGACACACAGTTTAACATGATGGACTATAGGACAGGACTGCTGCTGTTAACTATCTGCTGGGCAGGTGAACATCTTCACTGATCTTGATTTGACATATTTTTGCTACCAATGTAACACATAACATGCATCTTTCTTGGTTTGACAGGTGTTGATGGTCAGACTCTGACAGAATCTGAACCAGTGGTTAAAAGGCCTGGAGAATCTCACAGATTGACCTGTACAACATCTGGATTCACATTCAGCAGCTACCATATGAAGTGGGTCAGACAGGCTCCTGGAAAAGGACTGGAGTGGGTTGCCTGGATTGAAAATGATAATGACAGGAAATTCTACTCTCAGTCAGTTCAAGGCCGGTTTACCATCTCCAGAGACAACAGCAGACAGCAGGTGTATCTGCAGATGAACAGTCTGAAGACTGAAGATTCTGCTGTTTATTATTGTGCTCGAGACTCACAGTGACTGGAGTTGGTTGAGCAGCTGTACAAAATCCTACAGTACTCATCTTTCAGGCTGGTAGAGTCTGTGCATTAAGTATTCCTAGTATTTGTATTATATATTCATTTTATTTTGAATTTGACATGAGATTTTTTAATACATTGTTTTATATGCTACATTACATTTTATTTAGATGTATTTTAGTAATTAAATTAATAATTGTCTCTGAATTAAAGTCCAGAAAACTGTTCCTCATATTTTATTACGAAATATTAAAAACATAAAAAACACAATAAAAGTCACTTGTTGATAAAAAGGCCAAAGACAGCACAATCTGGTTGCAGCAATTAAATTATTGCAAATACTAAACATTTATATAAATTAAGACACTGCAAATTATGTGGATATAAACTGATAATATGAGAATGAAAAATAATGTTGAGTTTCTGGTATAAAACCACTGGACGACAGTCAGTGTCAAGTTTCTCTCGCTTCTGTTTCTAACAGGAGACCCTGCACTGTCTCACCTGATTAATGTCCTCAGGTTAAATAATTCAAAATGATACAACACACCACACAATGATACATTTACTGACTTATGACTGGATTTAAATTCACAATTCATGACCAATTGACAGTTTGATACAATAAAACAAGAAATACACTGTAGTTATTTAGGGATAAAAGTTGCTTTAACTCATTGTTAAAGTACATTTAAATAAATCAGTTATTCAGTCAAGTATTTGTGGCCAGTTACTCTCTGAGAGAGAAGTTGTTGAGTTTTTAAATTGATTTAATCATTCTGCTGATTACAGCCATGACTTTCTGAAGCAATGTGTTCCTAATGACTTTATATAATTGTTTTATGTCTCTGTTTTAATATGTGCTTCTTTTAAATACTGGGAGGACCCCAATCAAAATCACCCAAAGCAGTTTTAACAGATGGAATTCTTTACTGAGTTTTGTTTGAGTTAATTTGTGCCATGGGTCTAAAGTATCCCACACTATAAAGGGGGATAAGGGACAGACAATGTGATTTCCCAACAATACAAAAATATGAAGTCTTGCATTATTTCCTGCATCATACAGAATTATGCGATGGCATTTACCAAAACCAAAATTAACTGTATGTATCCTTTCATGAACAAATGCAGTTAATAATAATAATCCTATACAATTAATAATAATATACAATTTGGCCATAACAATATACAAAATGGTAATTTCATTCTAAGACTATAATTAATGAAAAATATGTCTGTCCCTGTTGCATCCAACTACTGTATTTTACAATGTAAATAGTTGGCAGGTATTTGGTATTTTTACATTTTCCTCTGTACATCTACTTCCCATGTTCTCTTTTTAGAATTGCAGAGGGTGGTCTATGCAAATCATATGTAAAGCAGAGGTGATTTCCAGGCATGTTTTCACTCTGCAGATATAATAACAGTCAACAGACTCTTCTATTGGCTCCAGTTAGACCAACATTGATGCTTCATATGTTTGATTCTATGCAAACTCAGTGACCTTCCTCGTTACTCAGCTATAAAAACTCAGGCTGTCAGTGGAGTTCACAGCACGTCAGTTTCAACATAAACCATGTTCTCTGTAGCTCTGCTGCTGCTGTTGGCAGCTGGATGTGAGTCTCTCTAGATTTGTCAAAGTCAACAGTTCTTCTTTTGCAGTATAACTTGATCATTTGTTACAAAACATTTTCTTTTTTAACAGGTGTGAAGTGTGAACAGTTGACACAGCCAGCCTCTGTGACTGTGCAGCCAGGTCAACGTCTGACCATCACCTGTCAGGTTTCTTACACAGCTTGGATCAGACAGCCTCCAGGGAAAGGACTGGAGTGGTTTGGAGGTGCATGTGTTGGATACACAACATATTACAAGGATTCACTGAAGAACAAGTTCAGTATCGATTTAGACTCTTCCAGTAACACAGTGACTCTAAACGGACAGAATGTGCAGCCTGAAGACTCTGCTGTGTATTACTGTGCTGGAGGGACACAATGACACAAACCATCAGTAGACCTGAACAAAAACCCTTCAGTGCCTGAACACTTGTAACATGAAGCCACCAGAGGAGCCCTCAGACCACTAATGATTTCAACACCAGTTCACTGTTACAGTAAAGAGAGAAACAGACATGATAAGAATGAAGAAAAAGGTAAAGGAATAAAACACGGTTCATTATAATATTGAATACAGAAAACTTTATCAAACATATAGTGGTTGCATTTTATGAAAGATGTCGTTCTGTCTGTCTCAGAAATATAAATTATGGAATTTCTTTGTATTGACTGAAAAACATGGTTAATAATGGCATCCATGTACTGAAAAGTTGCATGTTATTCCTGTTTAATGCTTAATTAATATTCTCAAATGTATTCTTCACTCTTATTACTACTTGGGTATTTGGTCCCTTGAGTCTTGAAAATAGTATGATATATGAACACTTGAAAGAGATTTTCTTGTGAGAAATTCAAATTCAAATTCACATTTGTTACCTTGTAGGTTTTTTGATATTTCTTTACATTAAAATGTAATTAAAAATACTCACTTTAGGTGTATGGTAAAATTAATAAACTATTGTCGAGGTCTTCACATGATGCAGACTGTGGTCTATAATGTGGTCTTTAATAAGGGTCAACCAACTTAAATAATGTGTTTGTCAACCTGTTGCACAAATTATACTGAAACATGCAAGAGGGACTCTTGGAGGAATGACTAATGTACAGTAAACATTCATTCTGCAGTTTCACCAAACATCAACTGAGATCCAAGTCAAATCCAGTTCCACACTGTGAGGAGGAGTCAATGCAAAACTCAGATGTCTTCCACCTCTACTTATCTGACTGCAGAGAGGATGACAGAGAACAGTGGACACACAGTTTAACATGATGGACTATAGGACAGGACTGCTGCTGTTAACTATCTGCTGGGCAGGTGAACATCTTCACTGATCTTTGGTTGACATATTTTACGTGTGCCAGTGTAACACATGACATGCATATCTTTCTTCTTTTGACAGGTGTTGATGGTCAGACTCTGACAGAATCTGAACCAGTGGTTAAAAGGCCTGGAGAATCTCACAGATTGACCTGTACAACCTCTGGATTCACATTTAGTGACCACAGCATGCACTGGGTCAGACAGGCTCCTGGAAAAGGACTTGAGTGGATCGCTTATATCAGATATGACAGTGCTGAGATCTACTACTCTCAGTCAGTTCAAGGCCGGTTTACCATCTCCAGAGACAACAGCAGACAGCAGGTGTATCTGCAGATGAACAGTCTGAAGAATTGAGCATAGCGTTAGTTCAGGCAGGGCACGAAGTCAGGCTTAGCTTTCAGTTACAGCTATATCATACGAGCACAGCTAGTCATAAACATACATCAGCTGATTCCTCTAAGCTTCCCATTGGATACCATACACAGTCAGCTGACAGCTCACCTGATTTCCTCAAGCATCCAATTGGCAAACATCATGCATGGCGCCTTATTTAAGCTGCTTTAGCCTGCCTGCCTATCTCTGCTGCTCCCTCTACAAGCCTTTTGCCAGGATGTTGTGTGCGTTACTTGTGGTTTGTCGTTTGCCGTTTGCCGTTTGTTTCTACTTGTCCTGTCTGCGGTGAGTATCATGGCGGGTCGATTGCATTGTGAAGTCTCAGCAGCGATCTCGGCTGTTGGGGAGAGTGTCGCTTTGAACAACATCCGCAGTTGTGTCCGGCTGCTCTGGTTCTGGAGGGTCCGCAGAAGGGGGGAGGAATTGCTCCTGCGCCTCCGCTGCGGTTCCGCTGCGGTCCCGGCTCCGGCTCCGGCGCTGCGCTGCCTTCCAGGGGAGCGCGGGTCCCAGGCGCAGCGGCCGGCTCCACCTGTCTTGCTTGTCAGTTCTGTCCAACATCCGGTTGTCGCTTGCCGTCATGGGTTCAAGGTAGTGATGGCAGTGTGACACTGAAGCTTCGATACGTGCTTCGAACCCTGAACTACAATTCCCTAGAACCACTGCTTCAAAGCTTGCTTTGGTCCGAAAAAAAATCATGTGACAAATGACGTCCGAAGCAGCAACTGTTTCGTTGCCTGAATGAATCAGCTGACTGGTTCGTGGTCCAATCAGGTGATTCACTGCCCCGATTCCGACAGGTGACAGGTTGAAACAGTTTTGAATTTGAGCGCCATTAACACTTTATAAACGCTCTAAACAATGCACAATTTGTGGGTTGTTATCGTAGTTGCAGAGTTATCGCGTTTGTATTGTTTCATTGCGTTTGTATTGATTCATTGCGTTTGTATTGATTCATTACGTTTGTATTGATTCATTATGGAGCCAGCCAGGAAGAGAGGTCGTTCTAACATGTGGGAACACTTCAATTTGGTCGCTCCTGATAAGGTAGGTGTGCTGTTTAATATGTAAAGTAGGAAAAGTAAAGTTACATATACAACAGTAACTACCAGTACACTACTATAGCTATGGTCCATCTCAAGTTTATAATAAGTAGCAACACACTAAAATAATGTGTATGATTAGTGTAGCCATTAGGCTATAGCTGTATAGACATTTTTATTTACAAATGGCTTTCTCTACAGGTCCAGTGCTTGGTGTGTTCGGCTGAACTGAAGTATCACGGCAATACTTCCTCCATGATTAGTCACTTCACTGCCAAGCATGGAGCTGCTGTGAACCAGGGCAACACAAATCAAGGTATGTATTATATCATTATTAACTAGACACACTAACACAATATGATATGACTGTATTCCATGACTCATAGACCTGCTTCATAGAAATGCAATTTCACATAAATCCTTATTTTCTTTTATTCATTTTCTTTCTTTCTTTCTTTCTTTCTTTCTTTCTTTGTGGACCAAAAGCGAAAGCTCGATGAAGCTCTTGTCAATATGGTGGTGAAAGACTCGCAGCCTTTTCCATCGTGGATGACTGTGGCTTCAAGGAGTTTGTGGCATTGCTTGATCCCACATATAGTCTTCCATCCCGACGAGCTCTGAAGAACATGGTGGTTCAGAGGTATGGAGGTGGAGAAAACCAAGGCCAAGGCTGTAATTCAGAGGGTAGAGGCTGTGAGCCTGACTGCGGATATGTGGACCTCCATTAATATGGACGCATATCTAGCAGTGACGTGCCATTATCTGGATGAGTCTGTGAAGCTGGCCACAGTGCTTTTTGGGAGTGTTGCCTTTCCCTGAAGCCCATACAGCTGCCAACATTACTGCTGCAACGAGGTCTCTCATGGAAGAATGGAGCATTGAAGGCAAAGTAACATCAATTGTTACAGATGCAGGGAGCTAACATGGTTGCCTCTGTCAGAAGCTTAAATTTAAGACATGCACTTTGCTTTGCTCATTCGCTTAATTTAGTGGTGAAGAAGTCTCTTGATGCGACTCCTGGCCTAGAAGACCTTCGCACAAGGGCACGCAAAGTGGTCACACTTTTTAAAACCAGCACAACAGCAAGAGAAAAGCTCAAAGAAGTGCAGGAGCAGATGAACCGTCCTGTAATGAAGCTGATTCAGGAGGTGGACACATGCTGGAACAGCACCTTCCTAATGCTGCAACGTCTTTTAAAGAGAGACAGTCAGTGGGGGCAGCTCTTGCAACGCTGAAAACAGATGTGAGACCTCTGTTCTCCGAGGACTATGAGACAGCTTCTGCATGCCTGCAATTGCTGGGCCCCTTTTACCAGGCAACAGTAGAGCTGTCAGAGGAGAAGAGGGTCTCAGGGTCAAAGGTCATCCCTATGATAAAGATGTTGATGCTGTACTTATATGACACAGTGGGAAACATAAGCCATGACACTGCAAAACAACTGGGACAGAACTTGGTGTCGGTGATGCTCAACAAATTTGACACAACAGAGAACCAAACTGCACTGAACCTGTCAACACTGCTGGACCCAAGATTTACAACCCTAGGCTTTTACAACCAGGTACAAGCACAATCATCAGTAAAACGCCTGACTGCACAGTGTTCCCAAATAATAAGAGACACCCCTACTGAAGAACAGCCTTCAACATCAGATCAACCAGCAAATGTTGGAAATCCACCATCCACAGGTAATGTTATAATAGAGTAGTAAATAAGTATAAAGTAAATAAGTAGTTAAATTAGATAAAAATTGAAAGCTTTCAGTACTGATGACTGCCATCATGTTTGTCTTTCAGATATTAACCTTTGGGCAACTTTGGATAGAGATGCGTCTGAAGCCAGGAGGGCAAGGAATGCCACAGCAGATGCCACAGTAGAGGTGCAGCGGTACATGGTTGACCCACCACTGGAAAGATCTGAAGATCCACTAGATTACTGGTCCAAACATCGAAATGTGTACCCTCATTTGTATATATTGGCGAAACAATTTTTATGCACACCAGCAACAAGTGTTCCATGTGAGCGAGTATTCTCCAAATGTGGAGAAATCGTGAGCAAAAAAAAGGAACCGGCTCAATCCAAAAACCGTTGAAAAAATAATGTACCTTAATAAAAATCTTTGACTGTTCCCAATCCCCTCCTGTCATAGTTACACAAGCACACCCCAACCTATACAATATTTCCCCAGCATTCTCTCCTCAATAACATAATACACACATTCATCAATCTTTATTTGTAAATAGAACATGATATATGTAGCAGCATAGACATAGGGCTGTCATGCGGCAGTTAATTGCGGCTGCTGACCATTGGGGTGGTAGTATATAAGTACGGCCCTCCTCCTCGCACGCTCACTAACGCATCATTTCCGGGTCAGGTGTTTGCCTGTGCAGGTAATGCTCCATGCCACTGCTGCGGCTACTGCTGTGTTTCATCTTTTACTGTGTCCTGTTGCTTAAAGCCTGTGTGTTTTCACTGCAGAGCAGCGACCGAGTGCCCCGTGCTTTGTGCTCCATGCTCCGGTTAGACCTTGGTTCTCTCTGGCGGTGGTAAGTGTCCTCTCTCTCTGTGTTACACCGAATGCTATCCTGTAGCTAACGCTAGTGTGGTCACAGGTAGATGTCCGCTGCCGTGTGGGTCTCTCTCTCCCTCCCTCTCCCTGTGCAGGTTTGACTTTGAATACAGGTATGCTACCTTAAATCTAACTCTCAAAAGCTTTGATTAATGTAGTTTAGCTATGCTAATGGTATGTTTATTGACAGGGAATGCTCGTCAGCTGGCCGAAATCTACAGGTGGTGATTCACGTGCCTTCACCACCAGCTGATTGGGACCGCTGCTGTTTTGTCTCTGTTTGTCTCTGCCTTGTCGCTGCTTTGTCGGTGTTTTGTCTATGCTTTGTCTACACTGATTTATCTACATTGCTTTGTCCGCACCGCTTTGCCTCTGCCGTTAAACACACGGTTGCTGTGTTGTTTATACCGCTTTGTTGACTATATGTCTGCTGTTGTTCCCCTACTGCTAGCTGCATAGCTGTGTCTCTGCTGCTGTATGTGACATTGTCCCCTGCCTTGCCTCTGCAGTCACTTATTCCTTGTTGCCTTGTTCTGCGGCTCTGGCTGCTTGGTGGCTTTTGGCTACAGCCGGCTTGCATGGTGAACGGCAGACACCATACTTTTAATCTGTTTATCCCTTTTTATTTAAGCTGAACGATGGTGAGGAGTTAATCCCTTAGTTTTGTATTACTTGTTTTGTTATACTTTATTGTTTTGATTAACTAGCTTGGTAAGCTTAATTGGTTAACTATTTCCTGCTTTATGTTGTATCTTGTTTTTATTATAGTATTGTATTTTGTGTTAAATACTTCCATTGTAACTTTTGCTTTCCCTTCTCAGTGGCTGCAGGCTGGTGGTGGTGCTGGTGACGTGGGTGGTGGTGTCCCTCCTTCTTGTGTGCTGTGCTTCCTTGGATTCGGTGATACCACAGTGTGACTGCCACGTGTGTCTGGGTGAACCCTTTTTCTTTAATTTAATTTTGTTGAGTCCCCTTCCCCTTCACCTGCTCTTTCCCCACCAGTAGGCCTCAGCCCCTGATTAGGCTCCCTTTTTCATTTATTGGGATGAATGCTATTTTTTATAATGATATATATATTTATTAAATAAAGTATTTTTGTAAACTGGGAACCACGTGTCTTGCCTGTCGAGTGGAACGAACCTGTGTTTTTGGTCAGTGTAAAATAATTCCTTGGGTGCAATTCCAAAGGTGGCGTTGTCGTGCAACCTAAGATTCCCATTGAGAGCACATTCATTTTTGTTCGCAACCCCCGCCACAATCTGGCGTTGTCGGCAGGATCTACTCTTCCAACAGGCAAAGACGTGTGTTCCTTGTGGGTTTTATTTTTTTTCCCTTGTGTTTTTTTCTCTGGTGTACTAATGTTGTTTTTCTTGTAGGCATCTGCACGAATTTAAAGAGACAAAGCAGCAGTGGTTTCCAGTGGACCTTCGTGCCAGTTTTGGTGAGATTTGGTATAGCAGATTAGGCCTAGGTAGTAGTTTGAGTTTTATTGTAGCTATGGAGGAAGAGTTACAGGAACTTAGAGATCTGATTAAACAGTTAAAGGCTGATAACGAGCGGTTACGACAGGAACAGGCTGGCTCTAGTGCCTTACCGTCCACCTCTTTTGTGCCACCTACTGCCCCTTCTACTTCCAGTGTCCCTGTAACAGAGAGGCTGGTGTTTGTGCCCCGTGATAGGAAGTGTCCTGTTTTTAGGGGAAGGACGGGTATGGGGTTGAGTGAGTGGAGGGAGGAAATACAGGCGTGTATGAGGTCCCGACGTTTATCCCGGTCTGACCAGGCATTTTTCCTGTCTGACCACTTAGAGGGTGAAGCTAGGGAGGAGCTAAAGTATCGCCCTAGCACAGAGAGAGAGGACCCTGATAGAGTATTGGCTATTTTACAGGAGCTGTACGGGTGTTCGGAGTCTTATGTTGCTCTGCAGAAGGCTTTCTTCTCCAGAAGGCAGCAGGAGGGAGAGACTCTTCAAGAGTTCTCCTCGCTTTGATGGGCCTCATGGAGAAGGTGAAGCAGCGTGCACCTATTGAAGTGCCAAATGCAGAAGCTCTTTTGAGAGACCAATTTGTTGAGCATGTGCTGGACAGTGCCCTGCGTCGTGAGTTGAAGCAGTTAGTGCGTAGACAGCCCAATTACACCCTGCTTGCTGTTAGAGCAGAGGCGATTCAGTGGGAGCTTGAAGGTCTACCCAGCGGTGTGAGGGGCCGCAGTCATTCAGTCCCCTTAGTGTTTGGTGTTCAGTATGGTGTTTAAGGTAACCCGCAGGGCATTTCTTCCCCCCGTGTCAGAGATGGGTGAGATGAGGGAGATGCTACAGCGTCAGCAAGAGCAGCTTAATAAGCTCACTGAAAGCATTGCTCGGCTGCAGGTCTCTCATCAGCACAGTCACCCACCTCGTACTGGCCCAATGCTATGCAGGCGCTGCAATCAGCCTGGCCATTTTGCGAGGGAGTGTAGAGTGCATGCTCCCCGCTCACAATCCCATTCACAGCCTCCATCTAATCCTGGTAGGCAGTCTCATTTTGCTTCTGGGTCGGAAAACTAGTACCCACCAAACTGCAGAGTCACAGTTTGGGTGGGGCTGCTACTGGCTCACAAGCTGCTTCACGCGATTTGGATGCGTCTGGATTGATTTCGTCGTGTCCCCATTTAGATGTGGACATGGGTGGAGTGAAGGTTCCTTGTCTGGTAGACACCGGCTCCATGGTGTCTACTATTTCTGAGAGCTTTTTCCGCCAGCATCTCGAGCCTTGGGGCCAGGAGCGTCTCCGTTCTTGTCACTGGTTGGAGCTTAGAGCTGCCAACGGTCTGACTATTCCTTACCTTGGGTACTTGGAGCTTGACGTGCAACTTTGTGGTAAACTGATGCCCCACTGTGGTGTGTTGGTAGTGAGGGACCCACCTGGTGGGGTGCCTTCTAAAGTGCCGGGTATTTTGGGGATGAACGTGATCCGCAAGTGCTACCAGGAACTTTTTGGCCAGTATGGGGAAACGTTGTTTTCCCAGGTCTGTATCTCAAAGGCCCCTGAGCCAGTTGTGCAGGCACTGCAACAGTGCCATCGTGTTAGCGATGTCGCGTCCCAGGATGTTCCCGGGAAAGTGAAGGTCAGGGGTAAGAGGGGTTGGCAGATTCCTGGTGGGGTAATGAAAATCGTGGCAGCCACATGTTCTGAGCAGTACTCCGGGTCTACGGTGCTATTCCAGCCTTTAGAGGCTGGTTTACCTGCTGGGTTGCTTGCTTCCCCTTCTTTGGTTCGTGTCATCAGGGGCACCGCCTACATACCTGTCATTAATGTTGGCTGTAATGATGTTGTTTTGTACCCCCGCACTGTTGTCGGCACACTGGATTTTGTGAATGTGGTCAGCCTTCCTTCCGGGGTCACTGAGGTGCCATCGGGTGTGGCCACCGTGTCTTCTCAGACCGCTTCCCCTAGTGTGCAGCAGGTGGAGAGTGTGGATTTGTCACCTTTGTCTGTGGAGGAACAGGGTCCAGTGAAGTCCCTGCTTCAACAGTATTCCTCAGTCTTTTCCATCAATGATACTGATCTGGGCTGTACAAATCTAATCTCCCATGACATCCCTTTGGTAGACGATACTCCAGTGAGGCAGCGCCATAGGCGCATCCCACCCTCAGAGTATGAGGTGGTGAAGGAGCACATCAATCGTCTACTCTCATCTCAAATCATTCGGGAGAGTAGCAGCCCCTATGCGTCCCCTATCGTGTTGGTACGAAAGAAAGATGGCAGCATGCGCATGTGTGTTGACTATAGGCAGCTCAATAGTAAGACCCGAAGAGATGCCTTTCCTCTGCCACGTATAGAGGAGTCGTTGGATGCCTTGTCGGGTGCTCGCTGGTTCTCAACCCTGGACTTGACCAGTGGTTATAACCAGTTGCCAGTCACTGAGGCTGACCGGCCGAAGACTGCTTTTTGCACCCCTTTTGGTTTGTTCGAATGGAACAGAATGCCTTTTGGGCTCTGTAACGCGCCCAGCACTTTCCAGAGGTTAATGCAACGCATCTTTGGTGACCAGCAGTGTCAGTCCTTGCTGTTATATCTGGATGATATTGTGGTGTTTTCCTCTACTGTGGAACAGCATGTGGAGAGGCTCCAGGTGGTGCTGGAAAGACTTCGGCATGAGGGCCTCAAGGCCAAGCTCAGTAAGTGCTCATTCTTTCGCAAAGAGGTGAATTATTTGGGCCATGTGATTTCGGCCGACGGTGTCTCCACAGATCCAGGCAAGATTGAAGTGGTTGCCAATTGGCCGATTCCTACTACTGCCTCAGAGCTTCGTTCCTTTCTTGGTTTTGCCAGTTACTATCGGCGCTTCGTGGAAGGATTTGCCAAACTGGCAGCTCCTCTGCATAGGGTGGTGGCCGAATGTGGTGGCACTAAGACCAACAAGAAGACTGAGCAGCGGCTGTCTAGGTGTTGGAATGATGAGTGTAACCAGAGCTTTGAAACACTGAAAGCTAAGCTCACCATGGCACCAGTGTTGGCTTATGCAGACTTTTCTCTTCCCTTCATCTTGGAAGTTGATGCAAGCTATGGTGGCTTGGGTGCAGTCCTTTCCCAGGCTCAGGCAGGCAAGGTGAGGCCTATAGCCTACGCTAGCAGGGGCCTGCGACCCACCGAGAGGAACATGGTAAATTACAGCTCCATGAAACTCGAGTTTTTGGCCCTTAAGTGGGCCATGACGGAGAAATTTCGAGAGTACTTGTTGGGTAACAAATGTGTGGTGTACACTGATAACAACCCCCTTAGTCATCTGTCTTCGGCTAAGCTGGCTGCTACTGAGCAGAGGTGGGCCGCCCAGTTAGCTTCTTTTGACTTCGAGATAAAGTACCGATCAGGGAAGAGCAACACTAACGCAGATGCTCTCTCCCGTCAGCATCCACCTGGTCCCCAGGATGTCGCTGCGATGCTTCCAGGCACTGCGATGCCCAATTCTTTGCAGCAAGCTCTGGGGTTGGGAAAGGCAGAGGCGACCCAGGCTGCCACTGCCGCCTTGCCCCAGCACACTTGTTCTGAACTCCATCTCGCTCAGCAGTCTGACCCTGTGATACAGGAACTGTTGCCTTTTTGGAGGGAGAACCAGCGTCCCAGTGGTGAGGAGCGGGCACGGCTCTCCCAGCCCACGCTGGTTTTGCTCAGGCAGTGGGATCGCCTACTGGAGAGGGACGGTGTCCTGTACCGAAGGGTGTGTCGCCCTGATGGAGCCGAAGCCATGTTTCAGTTGGTGTTGCCAAAAGCATGGATAGATCAGGTTCTGACCCAGGTGCACCAGGAGCATGGTCACCAGGGGGTGGAGCGAACATTGGCGCTCCTTCGGTCCCGATGCTACTGGCCCGGTATGTCTTCCGAGGTGGCTCAATGGTGTCAGAGATGTGAGCGGTGTCAAGTGGCCAAAGATGTGCACCCAAAAGCACATAGCTTTATGGGGCATCTTTTGGCTTCCCGCCCTAATGAAATCCTTGCCATCGATTACACGACTCTAGACCCAGCCCAGAATGGTTTAGAGAATGTTTTGGTGCTTACAGATGTTTTTAGTAAGTACACTGTGGCTATCCCTACTCGGGATCAGCGTGCTGCTACTGTGGCCAGGGTTTTGGTGTCGGAGTGGTTTTATAAGTTTGGCGTCCCTGCTCGTTTGCATTCTGACCAGGGCCGTAACTTTGAAAGCACCCTCATTCAGCAGTTGTGTGACCTGTATGGGATTGTAAAATCACGCACTACCCCATACCATCCGGAAGGAAATGGTCAGTGCGAGCGTTTTAACCGGACGCTCCACAACTTGCTGCGTACCTTGCCAGTGTCCCGGAAAAGGGATTGGCATGTGTGTCTGCCTCAGGTGTTGTATTGTTATAACACAACCCCCCACCAGTCAACCGGAGAGTCACCCTTTTTCCTGATGTTCGGGCAGGAACCCAGACTGCCCATTGATTTCTTGTTGGGTCGAGTTGAGAGTCCTGTTGGTGGCTCTATCCATGAGTGGGTTCAAGAGCACCAAGCCCGTTTGCATGTAGCATTTGAAGGAGCACGAGAGCGCTTGAAACATGCTGCTGATCGGCGGAAGCGAGTTCACGATCAGCATGTCAGAGATTTGCCATTGCAGGAAGGGCAGCTTGTGTATTTGCGTGACTTAAGTGCTAGGGGGCCCCAGAAGATCCGGGGATCGGTGGAGTTCTGTGAAGTATCGTGTGTTGAGAATGCCTAAAGAAGGCGGCGCGGTGTATACTATTGCGCCAATGGACAACGAGACCAAAGTCAGACAGGTCCACCGCACTAGGCTGAAGGCTGTTGTAATGGTGGACTCACCTGGTCCTGCCACTTCTCATAACTCGACCTCTGGCGAGGAATCACCACCAGCAGAGGAGCCTTCATTTGAGTATGATTTGTTGATCTTAGACCAACCATCTTATGTGGCAACTTCTGCCATGCCCTCCACCAGATCAGCTGTGCCTCAAGTGCCTGCAGCACTGTCCGGAGCATTAACATCTCTAGTCCTTCCCTCTGTCACTTGTCCTGATTCCAGTAATATGGGCCCACGCCGGACCACACGTCAAACGGCTGGTCAGCATTCAAATGTGCATCATTTCCCACGGTCTGCTGGAGATGCTTGTGCCGCTAATCCTCCTGCTTCTGTGTCCAACTCAGTCTCTGCCTTGTTTAGACCTTGGAGTTAGCTTGTTGTACTAGCCTCACTTTGTTGATCGTCGGGACGACGATCCAAGGAGGCGGGGTAGAATGTAGCAGCATAGACATAGGGCTGTCATGCGGCAGTTAATTGCGGCTGCAGACCATTGGGGTGGTAGTATATAAGTACGGCCCTCCTTCTCGCACGCTCACTAACGCATCATTTCCGGGTCAGGTGTTTGCCTGTGCAGGTAATGCTCCATGCCACTGCTGCGGCTACTGCTGTGTTTCATCTTTTACTGTGTCCTGTTGCTTAAAGCCTGTGTGTTTTCACTGCAGAGCAGCGACCGAGTGCCCCGTGCTTTGTGCTCCATGCTCCGGTTAGACCTTGGTTCTCTCTGGCGGTGGTAAGTGTCCTCTCTCTCTGTGTTACACCGAATGCTATCCTGTAGCTAACGCTAGTGTGGTCACAGGTAGATGTCCGCTGCCGTGTGGGTCTCTCTCTCCCTCCCTCTCCTTGTGCAGGTTTGACTTTGAATACAGGTATGCTACCTTAAATCTAACTCTCAAAAGCTTTGATTAATGTAGTTTAGCTGTGCTAATGGTATGTTTATTGACAGGGAATGCTCGTCAGCTGGCCGAAATCTACAGGTGGTGATTCACGTGCCTTCACCACCAGCTGATTGGGACCGCTGCTGTTTTGTCTCTGTTTGTCTCTGCCTTGTCTCTGCTTTGTCGGTGTTTTGTCTATGCTTTGTCTACACTGATTTATCTACATTGCTTTGTCCGCACCGCTTTGCCTCTGCCGTTAAACACACGGTTGCTGTGTTGTTTATACCGCTTTGTTGACTATATGTCTGCTGTTGTTCCCCTACTGCTAGCTGCATAGCTGTGTCTCTGCTGCTGTATGTGACATTGTCCCCTGCCTTGCCTCTGCAGTCACTTATTCCTTGCTGCCTTGTTCTGCGGCTCTGGCTGCTTGGTGGCTTTTGGCTACAGCCGGCTTGCATGGTGAACGGCAGACACCATACTTTTAATCTGTTTATCCCTTTTTATTTTAGCTGAACGATGATGAGGAGTTACTCCCTTAGTTTTGTATTACTTGTTTTGTTATACTTTATTGTTTTGATTAACTAGCTTGGTAAGCTTAATTGGTTAACTATTTCCTGCTTTATGTTGTATCTTGTTTTTATTATAGTATTGTATTTTGTGTTAAATACTTCCATTGTAACTTTTGCTTTCCCTTCTCAGTGGCTGCAGGCTGGTGGTGGTGCTGGTGACGTGGGTGGTGGTGTCCCTCCTTCTTGTGTGCTGTGCTTCCTTGGATTCGGTGATACCACAGTGTGTGACTGCCACGTGTGTCTGGGTGAACCCTTTTTCTTTAATTTAATTTTGTTGAGTCCCCTTCCCCTTCACCTGCTCTTTCCCCACCAGTAGGCCTCAGCCCCTGATTAGGCTCCCTTTTTCATTTATTGGGATGAATGCTATTTTTTATAATGATATATATATTTATTAAATAAAGTATTTTTGTAAACTGGGAACCACGTGTCTTGCCTGTCGAGTGGAACGAACCTGTGTTTTTGGTCAGTGTAAAATAATTCCTTGGGTGCAATTCCCAAGGTGGCGTTGTCGTGCAACCTAAGATTCCCATTGAGAGCACATTCATTTTTGTTCGCAACCCCCGCCACATATAGATACAAATTTTTAAAGCAAATACACTTTAAATCCAAGGGTGATCAAAGCAAACATGCTTCAGAACAAAAGGTGTTTTCTACAAAAACACTGCTCCCTAGATGTGTGCATGCGAGTATGTAATTAAAAGCCTCATGTCCATCAACTAGCCTTCCTAATTTGACTGCAGCCTTGCACTTTGCCAGTAGAGGTCACTGTAACTGAAGCTTCAAGTAGTGAACCCATTTTTGAAACAACTGGCTCAAGTGGTTCAGTGCTTCACAAAAGCTTAATTTGCCCATCACTAGTTCAAGGGTCCAGGGTTTGGTTCGGCACGTCAGGCCAGCCAGTCTTCGTCCGCAGTTGGCCTGTTTCCCTCCTCGCTGTCTGCAGGTAGAGCGCGTGGTCCCACAGGTGCAGCGCTTGACGATGACGTCACAGCAGCTTGTTTTGACGGCGTCACATTCCCGCCGAGAATGCTGGGAAGTGCAGTCCCAATCACCATAGGGAAGAACGTGCTGCCTCTCAAAAAGGGGGCATGAGAGAGAAACCTTCAACCCCAGTAAACGTCCCTGAGCTGGGGAAGGAGCTAAGAAAGCATCTAAACACTGTTAGTGAATTATCTGTTATAGGGCTGGTTCATGGTTCTTAGCTGGGCTGACTTGGTTGCAAAACCTACAATCTGCTTTGAAAGAGCTGAGATAGTCGATGCTTTACTGAAGAAAGGATAACAAAGGTTCATATTGGTCATTCATAAGTCGCCTCCTCAACAAGCATTAAGGTATAGCTACCAGGAAATATTCAGGGAAAATAAATAAACATAATTATTAATTTATCTGCTCTTGCAAAGGCGAAACTAAGGCATAAATAGTTTAAATCCTCTTATTTTTATTTTTTTCCTTATTTTATGCTATAATCTACAAAGCCATCAGTTGATTAAAAAAGCATGTAGAGGCGCATGGCTAGCCAAGGCAGATGTCACAGATGCATTTAAGTCATGTATTACACCTTCACATTGGTATCTGTTCGGTTTAAATGAAGAGAAATTTACTTCTCAGTTAGGCTCACCTTGGTTGTTACAGCAGCCCCACATATTTGACACTTGTCAGAGGCTCTCTGCTGGATTCTTTAATAACTGCAACTGCTTTCGTGCTCCATCTCGTAGACGATTTTCTGTTAGTTGACTATCAATTCAAAATCAGACCATGCATTTTTGCTCTTAAATATACCTTTAAAACATTAGGTCTTCTGCTATCCAAGGAGAAACATCAGGCCCTGTAAGGCTAGAGTTCTAGGCTTCACTCTAGATAGTGTACCGATGCAAATCGCATCAGAGAGGTAATGAAGCAGCAGGCAGTAGTAATTTCCAAAAAGAGAACTGCTCTCCTTGCTTAGACATCTTAAATTGGCATGTGTGATATAAGGGAAGTTCCCTTATATCCAGGCTTCTGGACCTCTCCGATTTATAGAGCACTCCATGATATGGTGAGCTTGGATGAGGGCTGCAGATCCGAGCCCCAGTCCCGATCTCTTCTGTGTGATAATGGTATGGCATCTCCTTCTTTTACAATGAGCAGCTAGAATCATCATTTGCCATTAATTATAAAAAGATGCAGCATATTGAGTACATATAAATGAATCGAACACTGTGTGCCAGTTCACCCTGGGAGCTTATGTCAACAGCAAGGTCTAATAGTGTGACTGCTATGATCTACTAGATCACTAATGAACAGCTTTGCTGAGCTTAGAGGACAGGGAGCAGACATGAGAGGCAATTTAGGGAAGAGCAATGGATCCACAGTTTTCGGTGTTGTGTACAGACATAATGGAGATATAATTAATTCAAGCATACAGTAGAAGTGGCATGATTGACCTGTATGATAACCGCCCTTCTGTAGGTTTTGGGGGGGTATTTTAATAATCAGTGGTTCACAGACATATGGCTAAAATACTGTCATCTCGCCAGCTAATGCCTCTTCTACCTTTTTAATGAATGTACCAATTGTTTCATGTTTCTGTGAGGAAAAGACTGGTCAAGGAAACAATCATGTTTTTGCGACAATGAGGCAACTGCCAACATCATTTACAAGGGCGTTCTTCAGTTCCATTCATTAATAGATTTGTAAGGCGCCTCACTTGGTTATCTATGTTGGGTAAATTCATTATTAGAGCATCTCATATTCCATGCTTGGATAACAATTGCTGATTTTGTACCGGTTTGAATTGCAGAATTTCGCCAGCTGTGCCCGGAGGCAGCGCCATCCAGCTGACTTGCCCCCCATTTTCTCAAACCGTGTTAGACTAAACACAACCATGCAATCCTACAGGCTATCTACTGCTCAGTATATGCGATCTGGCTTAGCTAATCTACATTAAATAACTCCTCCATTCAATTCGCATAGGAGCAGCAACAAATGCAGCATCCGTAGCTCCTGTCTCGACGCTAAGGCTATGATAATGTTCATTATCTGCTTACGAACGATATCTCCGGCCTGAGGCCAAGCAATTCTTGATGCTCAAAAGCAATGAGTGCCCTGTAATTTCCGGCTTAAATTCATTAATGTATAGCAAATTTCTGGGGATATCTCTAGTATACTTAGCCATGTACTTCACTAGTGTCTGCTTAGATGTATTGGTTTATAGTCCTGCTGGCTCCTCTTACTGGCACTTCCATGTAGCTCATGGAAGGGAGGTTGCCTGGTGTGGTTCTTTGGGGGTCTCTGCTGCCGCTCTCCTTGTCTTAAACTTTTCCGTGAATGCACATGGAAGGGCAGGGAGATGTGCTCTCCCTGCCTTAAGGTTTTCCACGTAGGCATGTGGAAGGACAAGGAGGTCCCATACAGAGCCACACCACCAAATATAACACTCTGTTTGGGAAATATGTTTTGCTGGCTTAATTTAAATATTCTTCGAGCATAACTTCTGAGGGATCTCTTTATTAATCCTCAGCCAAGTTACTTAAACTAGTATCTGCATAAATTATTGGCTTTATTACTGTTATTTATTTCTTACAAAAATTGCGCTGCTGGCTCCTCTTACTGGCACTTCCATGTAGCTCATGGAAGGGAGGTTGCCTGGTATGGTTCTTTGGGGGTCTCTGCTGCCGCTCTCCTTGTCTTAAACTTTTCCATGTATGCACATGGAAGGGCAGGGAGGTGTGCTCTCCTGCATGGCGCCTTATTTAAGCTGCTTTAGCCTGCCTGCCTATCTCTGCTGCCCCCTCTACAAGCCTTTTGCACCCACCTCCACCCCAGCTCCTCCTTTTTATGTTGTTTCTAATTAATCAATGTCATTTTCTGATTGCCATTGATGCTGCTCTGTTCTGTACCCTGGGGTCTCTGCTGCCGCTCTCCTTGTCTTAAACTTTTCCATGTATGCACATGGAAGGGCAGGGAGGTGTGCTCTCCCTGCCTTAAGGTTTTCCACGTAGGCACGCGGAAGGACAAGGAGGTCCCAGAACAGAGCCATACTGCCAAATGTAATTCTGCTTGGAATATAAGATATTTTGACAAAGTGGTCCTGACTGAACTGAAGATTCTGCTGTTTATTATTGAGCTCGAGACTCACAGTGACTGGAGTTGGTTGAGCAGCTGTACAAAATCCTACAGCACTCATCTTTACTTTACAATACATTAAAAAACTAACAAATGATAAATTATACTAAATGAAACTCTAACAGAGAGGCTGTAAATGAGCCCCTCCCTCCACATGATATCCTGATGCAAATCTTCAGTCTGTGCAGTGTACTTCTGTCCTGCTGACTGCTCTTGTACTTTGTGTGGAGCATCAGAGGTCACATCTCCAGCCTCAGGATGATGAACACACTCAATCTTCTGCTGGTTGCTCTCTCTCTGCCCTGTGAGTTCTCCTGCTTCTTGCTGTTTTATCTTTTATCAGACAACATGGATTGATGGTCAGTCAGTGATACCAGAAAACTTCTCAGATGACTGTCTCACTTTCTTCTGTGGTTCCTCTCTCCTTTCATCTCATCAGGTTGTACAGGTCAGAGTATGGAGTCCATTACTTCCAGTTCAGTAGTGAAAAAGCCTGGAGAGACTGTCAGTCTGTCCTGCAGGGGATCTGGCTTCACATTTAGCTGCTGTGTTATGAGCTGGATCAGACAACCTGCAGGAAAAGGACTGGAATGGATAGGGAGCGGCTTTTCTGATGCCAGTAGTAACACATATGCCAGCAGTGTGCGAGGACGTGCAGAAATCAGTAGAGATGACAGCAACAGCATGGTGTATCTGAGACTGTCCAACTTAAAGCCAGAGGACTCTGCTGTGTATTACTGTGCCAGAGACTCAGTGGTTAAAGGGAGCAGAGAGGCTTTACAAAAACTCCACAGAACATTTGTTTACAAAGACCAACAGGTGGCAGCAGAAGACATAAAGTCAGATAACTCAAACTGGAGAGTCTAACAAACACATACACACTATGAAAACAACAGCTGATGTTGTGGTTTGTGTCTTCCTGTTTCTCAGTCTTACATTCCTCATATTTTTTTCCATACAATATTAATGATTAATAATGTTCCCTTTATTGATTGTTAACAGCAGGTGTTGAGAATATATTAATGCATGATATATTCAGTATATAGGAGTCGGACTACAGGGAGGAGGTCCGGCACCTGGTGACTTGGTGCGCCAACAACAACCTGGCCATCAACTCCAAGAAGACCAAAGAGATCATTGTGGACTTCAGGAAAAAGAATGGCGGCACACACACCTCCATCTGTATTAACGGAACCGAGGTTGAGCGTGTCCCCAACTTCAAGTTTCTGGGTGTCCACATCTCTGAGGACCTTGCTTGGACCCTGAACTCCTCAACCCTGATTAAAAAGGCTTACCAACATCTCTTCTTCTTGAGGAAACTCAAGAAGACCCATCTGTCTCCTCAGATTCTGGTGAACTTTTTAGCAAGCTCAGGAACAGCTTTTTTCATCAGCTGTCAGTCTGCTAAACTCTGGGTCGAGGAGACCCCCCACCCCCCTGAACTCCCACTGAACTCATACTGTAAATATCTTACACTTTATTGCCTCTATATTTATTATGTTAATCTGTTCATACTTTTAATATCTCTGTTCATAATGTAAATATCTTGCCAGCATATTCATTCATATATCTATAATGTTATTAATACTTTTTCTTTACATTTTTCTCTACATTTGTAAATTGCACTTTACTACTTTGCACTTCTGGTTGATGCTAACTGCATTTCGTTGTTTGTACCGGTACTTACAATGACAATAAAGTTGAATCAAATCAAATCAAATCAAATCAAATATGGATGGCTCACTAAATGCTACAGAACAATATAAATAGATACAATTTGGTATAAACATCAGGTTAAATAACTAGATGGACATTGTCATCATTAAAAATGATCATTATAATATAAAATGATCTAAATCATCTTTTTCGGAGATGTGTGAGATGTGGTGTGTTCTCTGTGAGGAGGAGGAGTCAATGCAAAACTCTGATCTCTTCCATCTCTACATATGTGTTGCAGAGTGAAGGACAGAGACTAAATCATACACACTGTGGACTGGACAGAGACAACTGGCTTTTACAATGATCAGACCGGATTATTTGGTTGTTTTTCTCATCCTGTCTATTAACTGTGCAGGTAAGAACAATCATTGTTTGTCTGACAAACCTCCTGATACAAAGACAATATGGCTGCATTACAGTAACTAATGATGTGTTTAACTGTCTGGAGGTACTCAGGGTCAAACACTGACTGAGTCTGAACCAGTGGTTAAAAGGCCTGGAGAGTCTCACAGACTGACCTGCACATATTCAGGGTTTGGTAGCCATTACACAAATGCTTGGATCAGACAGGCTGCTGGAAAAGGACTGGAGTGGGTTGCCAATATCAGCTGTGGCAGTGGTAGCATCTACTACTCTCAGTCATTTAAAGGCCGGTTTACCATCTCCAGAGACAACAACAGACAGCAGGTGTATCTGCAGATGAACAGTCTGAAGACTGAAGATTCTGCTGTTTATTATTGTGCTCGAGACTCACAGTGACTGGAGTTGGTTGAGCAGCTGTACAAAATCCTACAGTACTCATCTTTACTTTACTTCAGAAAGATTTGCATTTTGCTTCTTTTTTTTTTTTAAGAAAACATAACAATCTGTGAGGAAGATCATCCAACACCAATAACAATGAATCACCTAAATAAATACAATATCTTCCTTTAATGATCACTTCTTCACAAATCAGCCAATGACAGCCAAACAGTCTGCTGAAATCACTGTCCAGGTCTGAATAAAAGAAAGACATGCAGCTACACATTAATGTTTATATCATTTGGCATCTAAAGTAGCTCACAGTATGAGAGTGAAAAATAATGTCACAGTTCCAGTTATAAAGACACTAGAGGGCAGTCAGTGTCAACTTTCTCTCTCCTCTGTTACTAAAAGGAGAAACTCAGATCTGCTGTTCTCATTGATCTTAACTGACTGACACTTGAACTCTGGACTGAACTAAAGCACAAAACAAGAAAATGTTTCCATCACATTCTGTTTAAAAATGTTACAGTTGAGTGTGTAATAAAGTTAAAATATCATATGTAAAGCAGAGGTGATTTCCAGGCATGTTTTCACTCTGCAGATATAATAACAGTCAACAGACTCTTCTATTGGCTCCAGTTAGACCAACATTGATGCTTCATATGTTTGATTCTATGCAAACTCAGTGACCTTCCTTGTTACTCAGCTATAAAAACTTCCCATCAGGCTGTCAGTGGAGTTCACAGCACTTCAGTTTCAACATAAACCATGTTCTCTGTAGCTCTGCTGCTGCTGTTGGCAGCTGGATGTGAGTCTCTCTGGATTTGTCAAAGTCAGCACTTCTTCTTTTGCAGTATAACTTGATCATTTGTTACAAAACATTTTCTTTTTTAACAGGTGTGAAGTGTGAACAGTTGACACAGCCATCCTCTGTGACTGTGCAGCCAGGTCAACGTCTGACCATCACCTGTCAGGTCTCTTATTCTGTTAGCAGCGCCTGCACAGCTTGGATCAGACAGCCTGCAGGGAAAGGACTGGAGTGGATTGGAATGGCAGCTGTTGGAGATTCATATTACAAGGATTCACTGAAGAACAAGTTCAGTATCGACTTAGACTCTTCTGGTAACACAGTAACTCTAAACGGACAGAATGTGCAGCCTGAAGACTCTGCTGTGTATTACTGTGCCAGAGATACACAGTGAGAGACAATAACAGCAGAGTCGTACAAAAAATACTTCCTCTATTAACCACCAACACTGGTAACACTGTTCATTCAGTATTACTTGATTTGCTATGAGACTGTTTTTCTTTTAAAAGTCCTATTTTATCTCGTTTGAATAAATGTTAAATAAATTTGCAAATATAGACAATTAGAATTTAAAGCCTCTTTTTCTTTTCAAGATTGTTTATTTTTCATTTTTGTGCCTTTGTCCTTGGAAGAAATGTTTACAGATGATGCAGAAGGACTACTTTCTGTTTTATACAGTGGTATACATGTTCTGTAGTAGTGATGAAACTGTGTCCACATTTCTTCATATGTCTTATGACTTGCCATGCATATATATGACCATATATATGCTGTTTATTATTGTGTTCAGAGCCACAAAGTAAACTGAGACACTCAGCAGCTCTACAAAGAATCTTACAGTACTCATCCTTACTAGGCTGACAGTCCCACACTAATGTATCTCACATGAAACATGTATCTCTTTAAAAGCTTATATCACTTAAATCTGTAAATCATACTACTAAATGGGAAAACCTGATCTCTTGAGAAAGCTTAAATACAAATTCCTGCCTCCCAAAGATGTGTAAATACTACCTTTGGACTCACCACCTGAACAAGAGAGACATGTGCTTTGCAAACTGAGAGATAAAATAAAAATGGTTTCAGATACAAGATCATCTCTAAAATAGTATAAACACCAATTATACCATAAAATGTTTTCTCGAAATGTATAACATGACATTTTCTCTGATTACCTCATCTTTTTTGTAGTTTGCAGGATTTTACATTCAAATGAAAGCTACAGCTGAGGTGTTGGAGTAAGTGAATGAAGTTCCAAACTCTGTTTCAGCAACAATGTTAAACTGTCTATATTATAGCCAGTCACCAATAAGCTAATCATTGTTTTCCTGTACAATGATGAAATGATAAAGAAAAGCAACTTGATTTGCATATTGTCACAAAGCTTTCAGTTCCTGAACATCTGTTTTCCTCTGGAGGCTCCAAGCATCGAACATCTGCATACAGCAATACAGTCAAATATTTGTGAAAAACTATTTAAATATAATCAACAACATACAAACAGATGTTTCTCACAAGGAAGTGAAGTTCCACACATGTTTCAAAGGTAATTTAAACAAATAAAAGAGTCAGTAGAGTTTGTGTGGTTTGTTACTTCCTGACAGAGAAGTTGAGTATTTAAATGTGTTTGACTTAAAAGGATAATCCTTCAGCCGTGACCTCAGTTGTTTTCCCTGTGTTTCCCTGTGTTCTCCCTCTCCCCCTTGTTTCCTGTCATAAAGGTCTGTGAGGAAGATCATCCAACAAGAATAACAATTAAACACCTAAATAAATAAAATGTCTTTCTTTGATTGTCACTTCTTCACAAAACAGCCAATGACAGCCAAACAGTCTGCTGTAGAGGGAGGTCTATGCAAACTCTTCCTTCTTTATAAACACACCAACAGAAACTGTGAAATCATTTTAGGCAGGACAACTGACACAGTCTTATAAATCTTAGAAAGACTTTGATCAGAAATCAGTGAGCTGCAGAATTTACTATAGAATGGAAAATATGATTGTCTGGAGTTTATTATTTGTAATGGCTATTCATGGTAAGAAAATCAATTCAGATATAACAACATGTAATGTTTAATCTTTTATGTAAGATGATCATCATTTCTTTGGTTACAGGAGTTTGGAGTGAGATCAAACTGGACCAGACTCCCTCTGAGGTGAAAAGACCTGGAGAGACAGTGAAGATGTCATGTATCACATCTGGTTATAGCATGACAAGCTATGCTATTAACTGGATAAGACAGAGGCCAGGGAAAGCTCTGGAGTGGATTGGGTGGATAAACACAAATACAAACACTCCAAGCTATGCCAGTTCATTTCAAAGCCGTTTCAGCTTTACTCAAGATGTACCCAGCAGCACTCAGTACCTCCAAATCAACAGCCTGACAGCAGAAGATTCTGCTGTTTACTTCTGTGCTCGATAAACCACAGTGACTGAAGACAGTGGAGCAGCTGCACAAAGCTATAAACTCAGCTATAAAAACTTCTCATCAGGCTGTCAGTGGAGTTCACAGCACGTCAGTTTCAACATAAACCATGTTCTCTGTAGCTCTGCTGCTGCTGTTGGCAGCTGGATGTGAGTCTCTCTGGATTTGTCAAAGTCAACAGTTCTTCTTTTGCAGTATAACTTGATCATTTGTTACAAAACATTTTCTTTTTTAACAGGTGTGAAGTGTGAACAGTTGACACAGCCAGCCTCTGTGACTGTGCAGCCAGGTCAACGTCTGACCATCACCTGTCAGGTCTCTTATTCTCTGGGCAGCGCTCCCACAGCTTGGATCAGACAGCCTGCAGGAAGTGGATTGGAAGGGCAGGTGTTGGTTACACAACATATTACAAAGATTCACTGAAGAACAAGTTCAGTATCACCTTATACTCTTCGAGTAAAACAGTGACTCTAAACGGACAGAATGTGCAGCCTGAAGACTCTGCTGTGTATTACTGTGCCAGAGAGACACAATAACACAAACCATCAGTAGACCTGAACAAAAACCCCTCAGTGCCTGAACACTTGTAACATGAAGCCACCAGAGGAGGAGCCCTCAGACCACTAATGATTTCAACACCAGTTCATTGTTACAGTGAAGAGAGAAACACACTTATTATTAAGATCAGGCTGTTTCTCTCATTCGCTGGCCTGAAGGAGGTCGCCCAGGCTGTCATCAAGTATCATTGCACCGTATATCTTCCAATTTTGATTTCATTTACATTCAAGACACATCATGATTTCATGTCACATGGTTTTGATGCTCATATTTGATCCCTCATTGCAAACAGAGAACTTGTAACGGTAGATCTGTCATAATGAACTTAACAAATGAATTCCCCTGTGAGCAGCTTTACAAGAAGATTTTCTAAAGGCTGTGTACTGAAATAAAGGTAACACTTCATAATAAGGCTTTTACTTTAGTAAAAGTACATAATTATTAGAAGCTAAATGTACTCAAGAGCCCCGTTCACAGTGTTATATACCATATATGCAGAGTTAAGAATCAAAAATTATTTTTTAGCTTGGAGATGTATTTGATATATTTCAAATCTATTATACAAATAAGCCCCTCCCTTAAAAACTGCCAATGCAAATCCAGAGCTTTCAGAGGGTTTACTTCTGCAGCATCTGAGTTCACATCTTCAGTCTCAAGATGATGGACAAACTGTCTGTACTGCTGACAGCACTCTGTCTGCCCTGTACGTTGCTTCATGCTGCAATACTGATCAGAGAATGCACACATTTAATGTTCTGCTGTTTATTTCTCTCTCATTCTCACTTGTGTCCTTTAACATCTGTTTCTTTGGTAGGTTTGAATGGCCAGGCTCTCGAGTCCATTCCCTCCACTTCAGTGTTGAAGAAGCCTCAAGAAGCCCTCAGTCTTTCCTGCAGGGGAACTGGATTTGATTTCAGTCAGTCTGGAATGCACTGGATCAGACAGCCTGCAGGGAAAGCACTGGAATGGATGGGGCTCATTTACTATGATGCAAGTAAAACAATGTATGCCAGCAGTGTGCAAGGACGAATAGAAATCACCAGAGATAATAGCAACAGCATGGTGTATCTGAGACTGTCCAACCTAAAGCCAGAGGACTCTGCTGTGTATTACTGTGCCAGAGCCACAGTCATCTAAGTGAGCAAAGAAGCTTTACAAAAACCTCAAACAACTTATCTTCACAGTCACCAAAAGGAGGCAGCAGGAGATCTTAAAACCAGTGTGGCATCGTACCTACACATACAGAGAAACAAACAATGTGAAAGCACCAGCTGAGGCTGTGGTTTGTCACTTCCTCTTTTTTATGTTTTAATGTGCTTATCTACCACAATGTACTGGTTAATAATATCCACATCTTTTGATCTATAAGGCAGGAGTGAAACATTTTCTCTTATATTTCAATAATTAAAGGTCCCATATTGTGGAAAGTAAGATTTCCATTTCTTGTGTGATTATAACGCAGGTAGGTGCTGTATAAATACTTTGAAAGTATCAAAAAGCTCATTCCACAGAGAAATGCACACAGCCAGTATTCAGAAACTGTGCCTTTAAACAAACTGTCAGAACTTCCATAAGGTTGTGATTGAACTATACAGTCGCCACCATCAGCCATGCTCCCAGTGAGTGAGTATGTGTTGGACAGTTACTCCCTGATGGACAGAGAATTAAATAAAATGAGATTTTAAGGCACCAAAAAAAGTTATTTTAATCTTACAAATACAGATAACACATAGAGTCACATCACAGATCATAAATCAAATTTTCTTGTTTTATGTTCTAATCCTCTACTTAACATTAATATTTTTTTTTAAATTGTGCCATCATATATTATTTGTTTCTCATAGACAGTTTCTGGTTTTAGTTTGTGTTATTATAAAATGACAGAAAAAAAAAACATTTCAACTCTTGAAGACAATTCAAATTAAACAAGTCTTACATTCAGATTTGCCTGAATCAGATTTATTTGGCTGATGTAACAACTCCTACATTATCGTTTCTCAAGTGCAACAAACTAAAGACCAAACTCTGTCCTCCCTGTGAGGACGAGTCAATGCAGAACGTAGTTGTCTTCAACCTTTAATTATTTGACTGCAGACAGTGACAAAGCTTTTAGTTTTTACTGACTCATAACATCTATTCCAACTGATGTTTTCATTCCCCTGATATCTGACTTATGAACACTTTGTGAAGAAATCCACAGTATAACATAATAAACAACGTTTCTTAAGGTGTCCTATTTCTGTAAAAATGTAATTAAATTTACTCAGTAACTGAGATCCGTGTCAAATCCAGTTCCACACTGTGAGGAGGAGTCAATGCAAAACTCAGATGTCTTCCACCTCTACTTATCTGACTGCAGAGAGGATGACAGAGAACAGTGGACACACAGTTTAACATGATGGACTATAGGACAGGACTGCTGCTGTTAACTATCTGCTGGGCAGGTGAACATCTTCACTGATGTTGATTTGACATATTTTCATTTTGTGCTGCCAATGTAACAAATAACATACATCTTTATTGGTTTAACAGGTGTTGATTGTCAGACTCTGACAGAATCTGAACCAGTGGTTAAAAGGCCTGGAGAATCTCACAGATTGACCTGTACAGCCTCTGGATTTAACTTTGCTGGCTACTGGATGGCCTGGGTCAGACAGGCTCCTGGAAAAGGACTGGAGTGGGTTGCCAATATCAGATATGACAGTAGCTACATCTACTACTCCCGGTCAGTTCAAGGCCGGTTTACCATCTCCAGAGACAACAGCAGACAGCAGGTGTATCTGCAGATGAACAGTCTGAAGACTGAAGATTCTGCTGTTTATTATTGTGCTCGAGACTCACAGTGACTGGAGTTGGTTGAGCAGCTGTACAAAATCCTATCTGTCTCTTTCAGCTGCTCAGGGTCAGTCATGGGGTTAGGGTGTTGGGTTAGTCAGTTTTTTGTAATATTTGTTGAATTTCTCAACAGCAATCAGTATATCAAATGCTCTGAAAAAAACAAAAACAAAATCAGGTATGTGTGGGTATCCCAGGCCTGTAATAATCCCACACTGTCATAGGGTTAGGGTTATGGGTTAGTTTAAGTTAATTCCGCCAAAATGAAATAATTAGCTGTCCTACCTACCTTCCTACCTCTCTGCCTGTACAGGGTTTGCCCATGAACAGAGTTTTCACAAGGTTGGGCAGATATATTGCTAAAGCTACAGAGCTAGAATGGCAGAAAAAGTGCAGCCAAAGTTTTTAGTTCCACCTATACCTACAACAGCTAGCACTGCTACACAAAGCAAGGGAAGAGAAACAGAAGTAAAAAAAAAAAAAGGCTACGATCAAATAGAGGTTGCATTAAGCAAGAGGTCAAACCAGAGTCAACATTGCTGTGGCTTTGTAACAATGGGGAGAACTGAGGGAGTTGGAGGGCCTGAAAAGTGATTCCATGGTTATTTGTGTTAGACAGGTAGTTACTTGGTTTATAGTGACTGGAGTTGGTTGAGCAGCAATACGTATCTTTATTCATCCCCACTGGACTGAAAAACTGCTATATCTCATAAGATTGTGGGTTTAACTTCCATTAAGTTGAAATTAGTTTCAATTTATTTGTATATATACAGAATGATACAGAAAATGGATACACATGCTGAAGTTCAAGGAATATAGACACTGGTTTGTACTAAAAACCATACATATGAACGTACACTTACACCTGTTCATGTTGAAAATCACATGTGATATCTGTGCTAAACCATAATATACAATCATCAATAATCATCCATATTTCCTTTTTCTACAGCTTATTTTAACTGTTGAGTGTATCCCAGCATGTACTAGCAGAGAGGCAGGGACAGGTTTACAGAGTATGGCAGAGCTTCAAACACAACCATCTTTCTGTATTTTAAGGATTCACAAGTTACATTATGTTCGAATGTAAAATAGTTGCAGTCCCTCCTTTAGAACCGTAGAGGGCAGTCAAGGACCGACTGTGTTCTTAATGCTGAGTACAGTAATGTTAATGTTAATGATACTATTGAACATAAATGTATAATAATGTTATGTTATAAAGTTTTCATCCAAATCTGATGGCTTCCCTTCCCTGTCAGAACATATGCAATTTAGGTAAAATGGCTATTCCAACTTTTTCATGTGTTATATGTGTGAATGTGTGTGTCTCTAAACATGTTTCAGCCTTGTTCAGTGTGGGCTAAGAAAAGCTGAGACCATGAAGAATACAAGTGGTTTGGAAGATAGATACGATCCAAATCATATGTTGCTTATACTGTCTGTATGTTACATACTGTATGCTCAGAATCTGGCACCAAATGTTGGATCCAGTCGTTTCCATTTATGGTCTTGTCCAACCAGCCTTGAAACCTCAATTAAAAACACATAAGAAGCAAACATTGGGCAAACACTCCTCTAATGGCTATCTTTATACAACCAACAAAAAGTATTCCCTCAGTAAGTAGATCAGATCCCTTCAGTCAATAAATATCACTGTTATCCTTTTTATTTTTTCAACACCATGAGGAGGAGTCAATTTGGATCTCTTCCATCTTTATTATTTAGCTCACTGCAAAGTGGAGACACAGCAAACCATCATCCAGACACACAACACATTTTCACTATGACTTTAACAGCATGTATACTGTTTCTGATGGTATCACTGATTTCTGGTGAATACACAATTCTGCCCTCTTCTTTTTCTGTGTCAGGGTTTCTGTTTGGCTGTATTCTGATCAAACTGCTGTTCTCCCCAGGTGTTTGCAGTCAGACTCTGACCGAGTCTGAACCAGTGGTGAAGAGGCCGGGAGAATCCCACAAACTGACCTGTACATATGCAGGAATATCAGATAATGATGCTCATATCGGCTGGATCAGACAAACTGAAGGAAAAGGACTGGAGTGGGTTGCTTACATTTCTGCTCCGAGTGGAAGCACTAAAGCTTATTCCACGTCAGTCCAGAATCGCTTCACCATCTCCAGAGACAACAAAGTGGACCAGGTGTATCTGCAGATGAACAGCCTGACAACTGAAGATTCTGCTGTTTATTATTGTGCTCGAGAGCCACAGTGACACAGGGAGCCACAGAGCCATACAGAAACCACTACAGACAGTCACTAATAGAAAATAAAACCACTTTGTACAAGTTTTTAAAATATTAAAATTCAGAGTCATTGATCAATCTCCCCATTAATTCTTTAAATATTTCATTAATGTCATTAATTATATCATATTTGTCATTGTTTCTTTCAATCTGTTTTTTTCAGGGTTTTTCAAGTTCCTTGACAAGTTTACATTTTTTTCTTAAATATCGTGAAAGATACAAAATACTGTTGTTGACGTTGTTTTAACAAAAGATTTTTTAAAACTAATTTAAAAGATTTGAATGCCAGTTTTATCGTTCATTAAAGTCCATTTAATCAGTTGGTGAATTAAAAAATAGAAAATTAAAAGGAATAGAAAAAAACTAAAAACACTGATCAACTGGTTGAAAAACAAAGGTACACTCACACAAAATATTTCTATTTGGAATATGAGGTAACTATTGTATTTGTATTTTTTAATGAGCAGATAAATGTGAGTTTATTAGTAGTTTAATGCAACAGCACAGATGCAAATGTTATCTTTTAGTAAATCTTTCTTTCTTAAAAATATTGTTTTTACATAAAACATTCTCTCTACCTTGCCTGGTCTCTCTAGACGACACAGTGTTTACATCTTCAACTGATTTAAATAAAAGATTATTCAATATGCAAATAAAGGTTACTTATAAGGAAGTGAAGTGTGTGTGTGTGTCAGTGAGAGGACAGAAGAGCTCACATCAGTTCAGCTTCAACATCAACATGTTCTCTGTAGCTCTGATACTGCTGCTGGCAGCTGGATCCTGTGAGGAGCTTTCAGTGGATTCACACTAATAAACACATTAGAAACACTGAATAGTCAGATGAATGATGGAGATAATGTTGATTTCTGTTTCCACAGGTGTGAACAGTATTGATCTCATCCAGTCAGACTCAATGGTTGTGCAGTCTGAACAGTCCTTCACCATCACCTGTCAGGTCTCTGGTTATTCTTTGACTGATAACAGCTATGCAACAGGTTGGATCAGACAGTGTGAAGGAAAACCAATGCAATGGATTTGGCATCGGTGGGGTGGAGGAGACTTTTATCAAAACAATGCTCTGAAGAACAAGTTCCTTTACAAAACACACATTTCTACTAGCTCGGTGACTCTAACAGGACAGAATGTGCAGCCTGAGGACACAGCTGTGTATTACTGTGCACGTTACCCCACAGTCATACAAACCACCAACAGACCTGCACAAATACCCATAAACATATGTGACCAACCAGTAACACATTCTAATAGAAGAATTGATAACTGAATTCACCTTCACACTATTTTCATTCGATCAATTTAACACAAATAACAATAATATTAATTAATATTTAAAAATATTAGCTACATTAATTAATTTGTATGTTACATTGCAAGTGAGTAAACAAGGAAAATAATACCATTTGTAGATTTGGCAGGAATGGAATATAATGTATGTTTTCATTAGTGTATAATCACCTTTATGAAGGAATCGTTATGTGTTTGCTGCCTTAGAATGAGATATTTTGATATACACACACTGTGGGTCCCCTTGCTTTGGGTCCGCCATGTTTCTACAGTAGCCCAAAACGGACAAGGTAAACACATTGCATTTTTTTGCACGTTTCACGGCCACCGTACAAAATAAAGTCAAAAGCAGAAAGTATTGATTTTTTGTTAAATCTCCTCTGAGTTACACAAGTGAAGATCAAAATATCACCAGTCCAGTCTCGCTCTCTCCTCCCTGTGAGGAGGAGTCAATGCAAAACTCAGATGTCTTCCACCTCTACTTATCTGACTGCAGAGGATGACAGAGAACAGTGGACACACAGTTTAACATGATGGACTATAGGACAGGACTGCTGCTGTTAACTATCTGCTGGGCAGGTGAACATCTTCACTGATCTTTAGTTGAAGTTGTTTTCAAAATGCTTCCAGCTTAAAGCAACTGACCACTGTATATTTGTTTTATCTTGACAGGTGTTGATGGTCAGACTCTGACAGAATCTGAACCAGTGGTTAAAAGGCCTGGATAATCTCACAGATTGACCTGTACAGGCTCTGGATTCACATTTAGCAGCTATTGGATGCACTGGGTCAGACAGGATCCTGGAAAAGGAATGGAGTGGATCGTTTATATCAACAGTGGCAGTAGCAACATCTACTACTCTCAGTCAGTTCAAGGCCGGTTTACCATCTCCAGAGACAACAGCAGACAGCAGGTGTATCTGCAGATGAACAGTCTGAAGACTGAAGATTCTGCTGTTTATTATTGTGCTCGAGAGCCACAGTGACACAGGAAGGAGCAACGCTGTACAAAAACTTACAGTACTCATCCTCACTGGACTGACTATGAGAAATATTTCTGTTTTATAACCATTTAAACACATTACTGTAACATTCACTTCCTCACAAAACAGCCAGACAGCACAGCAGTCTGGTTGCTTGAATAAATAATAATGAATCCTTTTTTTTCATATCTGTCAAAATAAATATAAACATAAATAAATAAATGCACATAACCAGTCACAGGCAATATAACAACCCCAGGTAAAAACCATTGCAAGTCTCTGAATAACAAATAATAAAATAATAAGTTGGTTAAAAGATTGAATTAATTAATTTATTTTCGTGAGGACAAAAACAGACTTTATTACAAATGTTGTGGGCTGCAGAAAAAAGTAATACAACACAGTGTAACCAATTAGTGTTGGCAGGGTGTAATAAGTAAAGTTATAATATTACTTTTGAAAAGAGTACAGGGTATTGAGTAATACATTATTGTGTTATTTGCCCAACAGTGTTTATGACAAATCCAAGCTTTGACTGCCTGTGACAGTTGATCCTTCTTTTATAGCCTTTCAGTGTCTCTATGCAAAGTGAACTTCCTCACAGTCTGCTATAAAGACTTGATATCATGCTGTCAGTTGCAGCAGAAGAAGAGAAGCTCCCATCAGATCACCTTCAATACCAACCATGTTCTCTGTAGCTCTGCTGCTGCTGCTGGCTGCTGGATCCTGTGAGTCTCACTGAGGCAGAGACACTGACAGTATGATCACAGCACACTGACTGTTCACTGTTATCACACTGATTCAATATTCAACATGTTTTCCTCCACAGGTGTAAAGTGTGAACAGTTGACACAGCCAGCCTCTGTGACTGTGCAGCCAGGTCAACGTCTGACCATCACCTGTCAGGTCTCTTATTCTCTGAGCAGCTACTACACACATTGGATCAGACAGCCTGCAGGGAAAGGACTGGAGTGGATTAGTTCTGATACACGCATCAGAGATTAACTGAAGAACAAGTTCAGTGTCACCTTAGACTCTTCCAGTAACACAGTGACTCTAAATGGACAGAATATGCAGCCTGAAGACTCTGCTGTGTTTTACTGTGCCCGACAGACACAGTGAGAGACAATAACAGGAGAGTCGTACAAAAACTACTTCCTCTATTTGAATATTTCAGTTTTATTTTATGTCATTGGATTAAATGTTCATTTCATTTGCAAATATAGAGAAGTAGAATTTAAATCTTCTCTTTTAAGAAAGTTGTTCCTGTAAATTCACTGTAAAACCTACATAAAGAAAGGTTAATAAATAAGAAATTAAAAGCTTCAACATCAAAATGAATTGATACTTTCATTGCTTTGAGTATGTTCAGTACAGTTTATTTGTTTAGATGTTAAGTATTTATATACAGGTTTGTTAGTTTAGTTTATTGTCATATTGGAAATATATATAGTGTCTTTCTGGCAATAATCACACAATAAAAAAAATATATAATTATTCTACTTTGAGTCACAGTCAACAGTGAGTCCTATAGTGAACATTCATTCTTCAGTTTCAGCAAACAGACTAAATCTATGTGGTGAAACACATTTAAAATATTAAAATATGTGTATTTGATATCCAGGAAGGAAGGAAGTGTTTCTGTTGATGTTTGAGAGTAAAAACTGTAATTCATCATCCTTTACAGGAAGTCTGTTTCATGTTGATTTCATTGTATTGTCAGACCATACTGAATAAAGTTAAAACTGGGCAAGAAATATATTTAAATATAGTGAAAATATGACTGGACAACACAAAGCATTGAGGAGCATTATTACAGACCATTTTATTTACAGAGGTTTATTTTCCTAATAGTATGTTCACAGTGCAATGCCTTGTATGTTTTTCCTGTTGTTCAAATATTCAGTTAAAGTGCATTCATTTTCTATCTTCCCTTTTTAATCCTGTAGAGGGAGGTCTATGCAAACTCTTCCTTCTTTATAAACACACCAACAGCAACTGTGAAATCATTTTAGGCAGGACAACTGACACAGTCTTATAAATCTTAGAAAGATTGTTGGAAATCAGTGAACTGCAGTGAATTTACTATAGAATGGAAAATATGATTGTATGGAGTTTATTATTTGTAATGGCTATTCATGGTAAGAAAATCAATTCTTATATAACAAAATGTAATGTTTAATATTGTATGTATGACACATATAATTCTTTGGTTACAGGAGTTTGGACTGAGATCAAACTGGACCAGACTCCCTCTGAGGTGAAAAGACCTGGAGAGACAGT